AGCTCGGAGGCTCGGCCTCCAGCCCTGGGGCCCGAGGCATCCAAACTGCACGAATGCTGAAGCCTCCGAGCTGATCGTTCAAGACCAATGTGCGGTGCGGGAGCGCACGGGGCTCATCAACAACAGACGCGGTTTGATATGTTCTCGTGATGCCGCCCCATCCATGGGGGGTCTCCGAAATGGGCCAAGTCCCCCGAATCCTGCTTTGCCAACACGGCCTAACATGCCTGACAAAGAAGGCTCCAAGAAGGCTCCAAGATGGCCCCACGACGGCCTGGGACTCCTACGGGCCCCAAGATCTTCACAAGCCCCCTGGGAAGCCTTTGCGACATCCCGACAGAACTCACCGAGAAACACTGTGACAACCGCGCAGCACCGCCTCCGTGAAGCGCTGCAGCCTTGCTGCGACACTTCCTCGGGCGCGGTGGTGGATGTGCGCGGCGGCGGAATCGGAGACCGGTGCAGCCTCCCACGGACTGGAGGTCGGAACAAGAAGCACGGCCTCCAAGTGCCAGCCTCCCCGCCAAGCCCTCCCTCGCCGCTCCTTCCCGCCCTCTTCCTCTGCCGCCCTGTCCAAGCACAATGGGGATAGGATCGGATAAGCACAATGGGTTTCGCCCATATGGGGCAACGTCGAAAGAACGTCGGTTCCAGAGTAAGGGGTTCCGCTTTCCCGTCCCAGAGCTTGCCCACCACGGAGCATGCAGCGCGTTGGCGAAGGTGGCCCACCAGAAGCGCTGCCCGCGGTTGGGGTCGAACTCCCTGGCCATAGTGATCGGTAGTCGGCGCTCGACTTCGAGACTTGATGTGAGCAGCGCATGATAGGGGAGGTTGCAAGCCAACCAACAATATCAAGAAACAAGCACACACACATTTGTTTAAACAAAATTGAAATGTGGCGACTTCGTGGCAATGCCCTGTGTTGACAATGACATGACAGTATGTGCTGTTGCTGCCATGGGATGTTTTCCCGACTCAAGTGCGCCGTCGTGCGTTACATTGCTTCACCAATACCCCAGCACAACAACGACCGTACTGATTGTCTGGTACAGCGATGCGCAGTGATCGAGACACGACCTTGCGGACCTCAGAGCAAACAAAACCCTTTTGGCCTGGTGGATGACGTATCTGTTCAAGTATTGGCCTCACTGTCTCACTCTTTATCTCAATTCGCCATGTACACAGCCTTAGCTTCTTGATGACGGATTGGGTCGATGATTCAACCTTTGGTACGCGAGCGACGGCTTCGCGCTCGATCACCAACTTGTCCCGAGCTGAATCAATCAACAACGAGTTCCCCAGGACGCCGTTTCGTGCACAGACCATGCCACGCGCCAACAAACTTTGCTGGAAGCATATGCGGCGTCGCTGCTGGCGGGCATGGCGACTGCGGCAATGGCAAGCGGCACAACAGGAGCTCGACCGCGCCTCGGGTCCTGGCCAGGGTAGTGCGAGCCAGGCGCCAGATTTATCAACCCTCCATGGTCGCCGGTCGACAGAATAGGAAACCGTATCTCCAATGACCTGGCGGCATATTGTTCTGTCATGTGCACTGGCGCGAAAGGTAGATGGCAATAACCACGTGCTTGTCCCAATTCTCTGTGAACGCTTGTGCAACACATGTGCGTTTTGCGTCAACAACGAAAGGCGGCCCTCCGCGAAAGCACAAGACATAACGAGAGCTGTAACGCAAAACGCTTGGTGCAAGCGAAGATTCAGTGAAAGAAGCTCTGGTGGTGGACCGAGAAGGACGCGGAAAGAGATCCCAAACGAGCAGCCGACCCCGAAGAATCGGCGCAAGAGATATCGGGATAATCCAAGGTGGTACGCCAAGAATGTTGTCGAGAAAGGCTCCGAGGAAGCAGCCGGCCCCGAATCATCAGCGCAAAGGATCTTGGTGTAGTCAGACTGGCAAGATAGGTGTCAAGGAATGCCACTGCCGAAGTACCAAAGCTTTCAAACTGTGGCTCTCGCCTCAGCGCCACGCGCTCGTCTTTTAAGCAGTCAGCAGTTACACAGATGGTGAACGGCTTCTTTTCAAACTGTGAGTGTTGGTGGGACCGTGTCCGAACTCTGCGACCAGAAAGCGAGGACTTGCACAACTTGAATGGATAGAGGGCGGCTCCTTCTCAACATGGCGCTCGCTTCGAGACCTCTCCAGGCTCTCCGTTCGGAGGCGTCAGGCTGTGCCACAGGTGCGCAGAAGGAGGGCGGTTCCCTGCAAGAGCGGGGCTCTCGCTGGACACACCACTGAGCTGCATCGGCCTGCTTCTGGACACCTCGCACGGCTGAAACACAGAAGGATGGAGGGCCGCCCGTTTCAAGAATGGCTGCCCGTCGGAGTGACAGGCACGCGGGGTGCTCCTCTGTCAAGGGGGCTCTTCTCGCAGTGAAGAGAAGTTCTCCCACAGATGCATGAAGCAGGGGACTCACATCGTTGATGCATTCTGGGTTTGCGCTGGCCCCCCTCTTCCTCCTCCGCCCCTCCCCTCATTCCGGAGCAAGGCGACTTGTGACACTGGCAACTCAAAATTGGTCACTGGACCCCTCCTGGGGTCCAGCCGCACCAATTTCCCGAGCTGCGTCTAGCCGTGGCGACGAAGGAACCCCAGAAGGCCAACTACCGTTTGTCTCAACTCGCCTTCCTCTGACCCTCTTCTTCCTCTGCCCCTCATCTCCCCTCCCCTCTCCTCCTTCGATGTGGAGGCAAAAGACCAGCCGTCGGTGCCGTTGCGGGCGGCGGACAACATCCCGCCGCCCGGCCGCCGCGAGGCGTCGAACATCTCCATCGTCCAGCCGGCCGCCTGGCCGCTCGGATTGGCTGGCGGCGCCTCGACTCACTGCGCGCACTGGGGAAGGGGGATAGCGGGGCTTCCGAGAAGAGAAGGAAATGGCCTCCTCCTTCTTGTTCCTCTTTCTCCTCCCCCTCCTACTCATCCTGCTCCTCCTCCTCCTCATCCTACTTGTCGTCTTCCTGTTTTCTCCTCCTCGTCCTCCTCCATCTGTCTTCCTGACGCATCGCCAGGCGTGTCCGCAGCCCGGGAGGGCGCTTCGCTTGACGCCAAGAGGTGCGCGGATGGAGAGCCAATCGTTTTCAGGATGTGGCTCTCGCCTCGGCTTCGCGCACGAACTTCCACCGATTGCACGGGTGGACAGCCGGTCGTTCTCAAAATGCAGCTGTCGCCCCAACGCCGCCCGCATTCGTCCCAAATGTGTCAAGCAGTGTCACGGGTGGAGGCCAGCAAGTTTTCAAAATGGGCTCTCGTCTGACACCTGTTCAATATCTAGTTACTACTGCTGCGCATGCGCAATTTGTACGAGCGGCTTCTTATCAAACGGGGATCTCGCCTGAGATTTCGTTGTGCTCGATACATTGTATTTAAACACTGCGAACACGCTGCAAGGATGCATGGCGGTTCCTTTTTTAGAGCGGGGCTGTGGCTAGAACCAGCCTTGAACTCGAAAGCCCCACCCTGTCGCATTCATTATAGCTCGAGAGATGGAGGGCGGTCTCCGTCAGAACGGACCTCCCGCCCGAATTGCGGGCCCATGGGGCCCTGGTCTTGCAAGGGGCCCGCTTCCCGCGGTGAGAAAGAGTGCTAGTGAGGAGCACTGAGAAGACTACTTGGGACGGGAGGGTGTATTGCAGCATCGTTGATACTTCTTTGGGTTGCTCTAGTCTTCCTTTCTCCTCCCCCTCCTCCGCCTCCTTGGGTCCTGGGTCGTTTCGGCTGTCCCTGATCCTGGGCCGTTTCCTCGGGGCCTCTCGTCGCGGCCGTGATGCTTTGGCTGGGCCTGGTGCGCCCTGGGGCCCCGAAGCGTTGAGTGTACGACTGCGCGTTCTCACCTTCTCCCCGCACTCTCATCCGTCTGACGTCTGACTCGGCGCGCCGCTCCATGGACTCGCGACGCCTCCTCTGTCCTCCTTCCGCCCTCCTCCTCCCGCTGCGGGCGCGGGTCGACAGACTTCCCCGCCACCCCTCAAACAGGGCGGCCCCCCCAGGAGTGACACGCTGTCTAGGACAGCAGCCGCTCCCAAGGGGAGGGGTCTGCCAAACAGGGCCTATAGACTGCAGCATGCAATCCGTGCGTATCCCCTCAAGAACATATTCTTCGATTCGCGACAGGAACGGGCGTTATTGAGGGGGGAGGGCGAGGGGGGGGCATAACGTGACGCCCCCCTTACCCTCCCACCGTGCGCGTCCTGCACCACAGCCAACAAACTGTAGTGCCGGACGCACTGCGGCGGTGCTGGGGACGCACCAGGGGAGAGGGAAGCGTCACGTTATGGGGGCCACGCGCGTTATGGCCCAGAGGGTATACATAAACACCCTCCAATGTCCCTCCTCCTCCTCCTCCTCCTCCTCTTCCTGCTGCGCTGGCGTTGGCGCGAACCGCCGTCGCGTACCACAGAAGCGCACGGCGGCCCCTGGATCCGTACAAGTGCCTGACATCTACTCGGGGGGGGGGCAGTGACACATGCGAGGCGCAAGGCGCTGGATGTGCTGGAAGAGGCGGGTCGGCACGACGAGGCCACGGCTGAGTGGAACACGCTCTTGCCACCCGATGTGGTACTGTAAGCTCGGACGCGGGGGGCGGGGCCCGCATGCGCTAAGTTGTTGGGGGGACGGTTGGAACTATGGTGGGGCTGTCAGTGGGTTCAGCTGTAGACGTCGGCCACGGGCGCCTCGTTCCCGCGAGCAGAGACAAGGACGGCGACGGACAAGCACATCCGCCCACCACCATCCCTCAGCACCCTGCCTACGCCTCCTCCTCCTCCTCCTCCCCCTGCTCCTCCTCCTCCTCCTCCTGCTCCTCCTCCTGCTCCTGCTCCTCCTCCACCTCCTCGTGCTCCTGCTCCTCCTCCGACTCCGCCTCCTCCTCCTCCTCCTCCTCCTCCGCCTCCTCCTCCGACTCCGCCTGCTCCTCCTCCTCCTCCTCCTCCTCCTCCTCCTCCTCCTCCTCCTAATCCCGCGCGTTGGCGGCAGGGGGGTGCAGGCCTCGCCTGCGCCGCGCGGCCGAGACGCTGAACAAACAATGGGCGCGCTTCCAAGAGGAACCCGCAGAAGATGACTCCAAACGGGGGCGCGCGCCCACCGCTACCTCCGCTGCGCCCCGCGCCCGGCTGCGCCTGGCATTTCATGGACCGCGAGCGGGGCGGGGGAGCGGATGGACACTGAGTTTTGCATGCACCTCTGCTGTGATGCGTTCCGATGTTACGAGAAGTAGCGGGCCAGCGATATGGCTCTCTGGCCGATGTTCGAACCGCCTGCCGTGCTGTCTACCCACAGAGATCCTGACGACGGATATGTTCGACTACACGCAACAGTGACCCTAGCCAAGAGTCACCTTCGGTGCACGGCTACAGGGGGCCGCGAAGGGCCCAAATCCAAGCGCGCGGGCCAGTGCTGGGGCCACCGCTGCGGCCCCCACCAAAGGTCACTCCAGCGAAGGGTCACTCTTACGCATAGCCGACATCCCAGACGCACGACGTCATGCTTTTTCCATGACGTCGACCCCCCAAAGGTCTGGACCCCTTCCCCAGGACCGATTTTTCCTCCTGAGTCGTTTTTTGACGGCCCCGAGGCCCGGTAAGGGCCCCCAAAGGCCGAAAATAGCGATAAACCTCCCGTCGTGATTTTTTCATGACCCGAGGTAGGTCGGCGAGCGGCCTCCCAAACCCCGGGGCACGTATAGGAGCGATCGAGCCTCGGACTCCACGCCCTTGTCGCAGAGGCTCCTGCCCCCATTCCAGGTGGTGTTGCAGCAGCTCCTCCTGCCGCCGCGGGCCACGGGAGGGGCGAGGCTATCGGCCGCGCGGCCTCCGCCACCGCCTCCGTCCTCCTGCCAGTAACCCCCCCCTTCTCCTCCTCCTCCTCCTCCTCCTCCTCCTCCTCCTCCTCCTCCCTCCCTCCCTCCCTCCCTCCCTCCCTCCCTCCCTCCCTCCCTCCTCCTCCTCCTCCTCCTCCTGCTCCTCCTCCTCCTCCTCCTCCTCCTCTACCTCCTCCTCCTCTTAGGTGGCTGGCTCCCCAGCGTGGCCCCGCGCAGCCGTCTTGCCCGCGGCGGGCGCGGCGCGCGGATGGGCCCGTGCACGGGAGCCCTCAGGCGCCGAGGGCGCGATGGGACTCGTGCGCGGCATGCGCCCAGCGCTGTGCCGCCCGAGTCACCCGTGAAAGAGAACGTGAGCGCAGCACCGGAGGCGCGGCGGCGGCACGGCGGAGGGCGCGCCTGCGGCAAACGGCGGCGCGGTGGGCTCAGCAGCACGCCGTGGAAGCCATGCACCTGCTGGACCCGCCCGCGGCCTCGTCGGCAGCGCTCCCCGGCCTCGCCGACACCTTCGGGGAGGGCCTGGCGGCAGGCTGGCGGCTGGCCGACACCTGGACCACAGCTGCACTCCTGTCGGAGGCACCTTGGTGGGGCGGGCAGTGGATGCAGGCTTACTCAGAAGAAGGCTGGCCCGAGAAGGCGAGCACTTGCGAGAAGCGGGAGGCGAAGATAGAGCCCAACATGACTAGCTACAGCGCTGCGATCAGGGAGTGCGATGAGGGGAAGGCGATGATAGAGCCCGCCAGCACCCCCCGACTCAGCTCTGGCATCTACGTGCGAATTGCGGGAGGCGAGGAGCGAGCCCGACACGTTCAGCCACAGCGCGGAGACCAAGGCTTGCGAGAAGGGAGCGGCGAAGCTGGAGCCCAACATGCCTATCTCCTCGACACCCCTCGTCGCCACGGCTGGATCATGCGAGAAAGGGAAGGCGAAGCTGGATAGCCCTACCCACGACTCAGAGAACAGGGCAAAGCTGGACTCCGACACCCTCAGTGAGAAGTGCGAGAAAGGGGAGGCGAAGACGGAGCCCGACATCATCAGCTACAGCGCTGGGAGAAGGGCGTGCGGAAAAGGGGAAGCGAAGCTGGGGCGCGAGCAGTGGGAGGCAAAGACAGAGCCCGACGTCATCAGCTACAGCGCTGAGATCAGGGCGAGCGAGAGGGAGAAGCTGGAGCCAGACGCCGCTAGCCACAGTACTGGGTACAGCGCGTGCGAGAAGAGCGAGACGACATGGTCGTCCCCGTTGCATTGGTGCTGGCCCTGGTCAGAGCTGTGCGTGTGCGTGCAGAGGGAGAAGCCACGGGAACCCGGCACCATCAGCCACAGCGCCGGAACTAGGGCGTGCGAGAAGGAGCAAGCGAAGCTGGAACCAAACACCCTCCGCGAAAAGTGTGAGAAGGGAGAGGCGATGATCGAGCCCGACATCACCAGCTACAGCGATGAGACGGAGGCAAAGTTGGAGCCCAATAGCGCTAGCGTGTTCCCCTCGTCACCTCTCGTCGCCACGGCTGGATCAGTGAAAACGGCATGTGGCTCGGTTGCGGAGGCGAAGTTGGAGCCAAACGTGATCAGCTACTGCGCAGCGAGCGAGATAGGAGCATGGGCGGCAAAGATAGGACCCAACGTGACCAGCTACAGCGAAGCGATAAAGGCGTGCGAGGAGGGCACGGGGAAGTTGGATCCCGACAGCCCTAGCCCTGTGAACGGTGAGCCCAATATCACTAACGTTTCCCCCTCGACTACCCTCGTCGCCACAGCTGGATCCGAGAAAACGGAGTGCGCGAAGCGGGAGGCGAAGTTGGAGCCAGACATCGTCAGCTCCAGCGCGGGGACCAGCGCGTGCGAGAAGGAGAATGCGAAGCTGGAGCCCGACACCCCGACTCACAGCTCTGAGAACAGCGAGTGCGCGAAGACGGAAGCAAAGGTGGAGCCCGACGCGATCTGCTACAGCGCCGCAGTCAGGGCGTGCGAGAAGGAGAAGGCGAAGCTCGAGACGGAAGAGCCAAGCTGCACAAGCACGGCGATGTGGCGAGCGCGAGCCGAAATCTCCCGCAAGTGGCTGGGCCCGAGCAGGTGGCAGCGCGAGCAGGAGGATAAGGTGAAGCCGAAGCCCGACGTCGCCAGCTACAGCGAGGCATTCCTCGAGGCGATCCTCGAGGAGATCCGTGAGAAGGCCAGACGCACAGCGAGAAGTGCGAGAAGTGGGAGGCGAAGACTGCGCCCGACATCATCAGCTACAGAGCTGGGAGCAGGGCGCGCGAGAAAGGCGCGGAAGGCACGGGCAAGCGCCGAGACGAGCGCCCGAGCGCGGACGCCCCGTACCCTGGACGGGAGCCCCTGGATAATGGGAGCATACCTGGGGGAGGGGCAAGCACGAGCGCGACTCGCAGGGAGCGAGAGGCAAAACAGCTGAAACAGCTCCTCCTCCTCCTCCTCCTCCTCCTCCTCCTCCTCCTCCTCCTCTCCTCCTCCTCCTCCTCCTCCTCCTCCTCCTCCTCCTCTCCTGCCTCCTCCTCCTCCTCCTCCCTCCTCCTCCTCCTCCTCCCTCCCTCCTCCTCCTCCTCCCTCTCTCCTCCCTCCTCCTCCCTCCTTCCCTCCTCCCTCCTCCCTCCTCCTCTTCCCCCTCCCTCCCTCCCTCCCTCCCTCCTCCCTCCCTCCCTCCCTCCCTCCCGTCGGGCCGACCAGGAGGGGATACGGGTATCCCCCCGGATGGGCCTCCTGAGGCCTCCTGGAGGCCTCCTGGAGCCCATGGGGCCCCCTGAGGCCTTTTGGAGCCCATGGGGCCCCCTGAAGCCTTCTGGAACACATGGGGCATCCTGAGGCCTTCTGGATCCCATGGGGCATCCTGATGCCTTCTGGAGCCCCTGGTACCTCCTGAGGTTTCCTGAAACTTCCTGGTGCCTCATAGGACCGTCTGGACCCGCTTGGGACCTCCTGATGCATTATGGAGCCTCCTGGGGCCTTCTGGGGCTTCTTGTGATATCCTGGTACCTCCTGTAACCTACTGAGATATCCTGGGGCCTTCTGGGATGTTCTGGAAACCCCTGTGGCCTCCTGCGGTCTCCGTGGACATCCTGGCCGTCTCGGGGCGCCACGAGGCCCTCTCTTGGGGCTCCCCGCGGCTGTCTTGGGCTGTTTGGGGCAGATCCCTGGGACTTCTGGGTACCGAAAATAAGTGAACCGAAGACCCTCCGAGAGCGCAGGGCTTGGTTCACTTATTTGGTTGGCATATGGCCGCGTCCGCCCCCCCCCCCCAGGACCGTTTCGGGGCAGGACATAATGATTTGTTCTTAAACTTCGTAAGGTTGATCCGTCGTAATACACACATAAACAATATACCATATATTTTATATATACTATATATATATATTAATATATATATACATATATATATTAATATATATATATTAATATAGATATATATTCATATATATATATGTATATATTCATAGAAATACATACATACATGGTCATAGAAAACAGATGGCATATATGTGTATGTGTTATGCAGATATACAGAGACATGTAGAAACATAGTATAGGCATCATGACAAATACCAGTACACATGATACAACTACGAATGTACGACGCGCATACCGACAGAAACAACAACAGCGCGCGCGTAATCTCTTGGAGCCGTTTTAGACATCATGGGAACCTCTTTGGGCCCTCAGGGGGTCTCTTGAGCACCTTCTTTGTGGATTGAAGACGTTATCGGGGTCATCTTGGGATCAATTCCTGGACCCTATCGGGGCTTTCTTAGCCACAAGCGGGGGTCGAAACAAGTGTGATGTCCATTGTCCAAGAGTTGTGAAAACTGTCCGATCGGCCCCTTGGGGTCCGACCTACAGCTAGAAAGTGGATTGCGTTTGAAGAGAGGCAGCTCTGTTTTGCCCATGACGATCGCGAGGCGAAACAGTATGAACATATGCTCAAGCTCTCAATCCCGCGTATTGGCCTGCTCAGCCACTCGCCCTCTGCACATGCCCCTCCAGCGCAGGGCAGTGGCCATCTCGGCTGCCCCCCCCTCCGTCGGGCGACGCCCGATCGCCGTGTAAATCCTAACTGAATTAAGTGCACCCTTGGCCGCGCATGGCACCCGCGCATCGTGCGTCGAGCCAGGCGCCGCGGGCTTCCAGCGCGGCGTTGCGCGGCAGTCGCGCATGTCATCCCGGCCAGCGCAGGGCCGCGCTCGCACCCGCTGTACACTTGCACCAGACCTGCTTACACTGGCGCATTGAAACACTGCGGCCCGCAGGCTGCGAGAGGCAACTCTTCGGTTAGCGTTTAGATCGACCGCTTGTTGGTTGAGAGGTCAAACAGCTTCTTCCTGGTCGACTTGTTCACCTTCGCCCTAATGGCCTGCAAGATAGTTTCTTGCACGCGGGACGGCCCGCGCCTGCGCGGGCGCAAATCGCCCTCCACAGGAGGGGCGGAAGCCTGGTACTCCGTCTCATCTAGGCCCACGTGCACCGGCCAGTTCTCAGCGTCGAACAGCGAGACTGAGTTGACCACGGTCGCCTTCATATCGGCGCGCCGCACCCTCGAGGTCGTCCTGCCGCCCAAAGCCCTCGACGCCAGCGTGGTCTCGCACCCCGCCCACAGCGCGAGCTCGGCCTTCATGGCCCTGGCATCCACGCGAGTCAACTGGCGGAAATTTGCGTTGATGCACGAGTGTATCTGCTCGTTGCGAGTCGTTCCAACGCCGAGAGAGCTGTTCTCCTTCGGCGTGAGCCGCGCCCTGTAGCGGATGTTGTTCATGTAGAATTCCGCTCGATCGGGGGCGCACGCCGCAATGAACTGCGCCCGGAGTGTGCCCTCATCGTACTGCACGTCCATCCGCTCCGGGTAAACGCGCGCGATGGCCGCCATCAACATGGCAAACTGCTCCCTGGACTGCATCGGCGCGTTAGGGTCCATGTCGCTGAGGATGCTCTTCGCTCGGCGGTGCCCCATGTCGCCCCCCCGCATGCGCTCGATGAACGCTTGCTCCTGAGCGGATGCCCTGGCCGCGCCAGTGCCCCAGTGAAACGGCTCGCGCCTCCGCGCGTAGTCGGCCACGGGGAACTTCCCCAAGACAGCCCGCATGACGAGGCCGACCGCGGTCGGTCGCATGCGGCGCTTAGAGGTGTGGGCGTCCACGGAGAACGCCAGGTGCAACGGGTCAAGGGATGCGCACTGCAAATTCGGGAGAATCTTCTGCATCTCCTCGCAAACCTTGCGCCCGACGACGTCGCTCGCCACGTGCTCGACGCGCGAGCGGAGCTCGGGGGGCACCGAGCGCTCCACTGCGCCGGCGAATGCCTCTGGGCGCTCTGCGTGCCCGGGAGCGAGCCCCAACACTTCGCCATGGTATCCGATCACGCTGAACACGTTGTGCTTCTGCGCGCGGGTCTGTCCGGAAACCTTGAGTGCGACCTTGTACGTCGCGTCGATAGAGATGGACCTGAGGCCGCCGACGTCAGCGCATTTCAGAACCTGTGCGCCCACAAAGTCTTCGAAGGCTTTCGACTCGGCAATGTCCAACATCAGCGCTATCATGGTGCCAGTGTGCCGGTTGGCGAGCGATCCCACCTCGCAGCCACCGCGGGCCCATGCCGCTTTGAGAGAGCGGAAAGCGCGGCCGTGCACCCCTCCTGCGTCGAGCAAGAAGCGCGCGTACATGTTACCGAACGCCATAGTGTAGTAGTGGCCGCCGAACTTCCGAGCGAAGCGGAGCCTCTCGTCGGAATGTAACCAATATTGCGGGCCGGTGTCAGTCAGGACCAGTCTCAGGTCGCAGTCGCGCTTGTGGCCCGTCGCGGTGTAGAGCGAATCTCTCCCACCGGGTGTCGCGGTGAAGCCGATCCACCCCTGGATGAGCGACCTCGCGCGGGACGCGTAGCCGCTGCGCGGGCAACCCGCGAGGATGTCGTGGTCGTACAGGGAGCGCTGCACCGCCGCGATCACTGGGTGCGAGATCTGCACATCGGTCAGGAGCGTCTTGTGGATGCACGCGAACTTGCCCTCCAGATGGCTCTTCGCATGCTCCCGCGCCCTCTGCGGCCTCGAAAGAATTCTCCCGCAGATAGGGCACTCGAGCACGGCGCCGGCGTTCTCGGCGCCGCCCTTCTCAGTCTGGTCGATGTGGTCACGAATCTCCTCCACTATATACTTCGCCAACTCCTGGGCTGTAAGGAAACGAGCCCCCGACTCCTAAAATCACAAGCTGAAAGGGCATCAGAATTCGGCTGAATATTTCGGAACACGGCATACTGTCGTCCTTAACCCCCAAACGAAGCCCGATTCCGAAACCCCAGCCTTGAAATTCACCCGGGCCAGGGCTGAGCGTTGGCGTCAACGTTTTTTTGTTCATCATGAGGGGAGTTCAAAATAGCGAGTCCTGGTGTCGGGCCTGGCATTGGCGCCCCCTCGCCGCGGCTGGTCGCTTCGCGGCCGTCCGCGCCGCGGCGGGCCCCCTGGCGCCCGCCGCCCTGGCGGTCGACCGCTTTCCGATGGTCGGCAGGACAGCGGGGGTACAGCGAGGTTGGAGCGATCTCGGGGGTGCATCTTGAGGTGTTTTGCAGGCCTCTTGGGAGAGGCATTTTAGAGATAGAGATCCCTATAAAACGGGGGGGGGGGCATTTTCGATGGACCGGTCCCCCTAAAACGGGATGGGATTTTAGGGGGACCGGTCTCCCTAAAACGGGATGGGATTTTAGGGGAACCGGTCCCCCTAAAATTCCATCCGGTTTTAGGGGGACCGGTCCCCCTAAAATTCCATCCCGTTTTAGGGGGACCGGTCTATCGAAAATGCCCTCCGTTTTATAGGGATCGCCCTATCTAAAATGCCTCTCCCGAGAGCCCTGCCGTCGTCGTTGTCGTCGTGGTCGTGGTCGTCGTCGTCGCCGTCGCCGCCGCCGCCGACGACGACGCCGCCGTCGTCGCCGCCACCGCCGCCGCCGACGGCGCCGCCGTCGCCGCCACCGCCGCCGCCGACGACGACGCCGCCGACGACCTCGACGACGACGACGACGACGACGACGACGACGACGACGACGACGACGACATCCGCAACGACGACGACCGCAACGACGACGACGGCGCCGCCGACGACGACCGCGACGACGACGACGACGACGACGACGACGACGACGACGACGACGACGACGACGACGACATCCGCAACGACGACGACCGCAACGACGACGACGGCGCCGCCGACGACGACCGCGACGACGACGACGACGACGACGACGACGACGACGACCACGACGACGACATCCACAACGACGACGACCGCAACGACGACGACGGCGGCGGCGGCGGCGACGACGACGACGACGATGACGGCGACGACGACGACGACGACGACCACGACGGCGGCGGCGGCGACGACGAGAGGTGGTAGCGGCCCGCGGGGTGCCGACAGCGCACCTTCCGGTAGCGGCCCTTCCGGTCGCAGCTCGAGTCCCCGGTGGCGGTCCGGGCCACGCGGGACGAATCGGACACCGCCGGCGATCGACCGTAGTCGTCGTCGTCGTCGCCGCCGCCGCTGCCGCCTCCGCCGCCACCACCGTCGCCGCCGCTGCCGCCGCCGCCGTCGTCGTCGTCGGCGGCGGCGGCGTCGTCGGCGTTGGGTTCGGAGTCGGGGTCCAATCCAACCTCCCAGAGGTAGCAGAAAATCTTGAAGACCGTTTCTGTTAAACTGCACCGTTACACGCCTGGGGGGGAGTCGCCTGGGAAATCTGCAAACCAGGCGGCCAGGACCCCCCAGAAACTCCGGACCTCCCAAACTTTTAATTTTGAAAAATTTTTAAAAATTTTAAAAATTCAAAAGTGTTTTAAATTTTTAAAATTTTTAAAATTTTTAAAATTTCTAAACATCCCAGGGCCTGGGAAATCCGCAAACCAGGCGGCCAGGACCCCCCAGAAACTCCGGACCTCCCAAACTTTTAAATTTTTAAAAATTTTAAAAATTTTAAAAATTCAAAAGTGTTTAAAAATTTTTAAAATTTTTAAAAAACATTCCGCAAATTTTTTAAAATTTCTAAACAAAATCCATCAGGGCCTGGGAAATCCGCAAACCAGGCGGCCAGGACCCCCCAGAAACTCCGGACCTCCCAAACTTTTAAATTTTTAAAAATTTTAAAAATTTTAAAAATTCAAAAGTGTTTTAAATTTTTAAAATTTTTAAAATTTTTAAAATTTCTAAACATCCCAGGGCCTGGGAAATCCGCAAACCAGGCGGCCAGGACCCCCCAGAAACTCCGGACCTCCCAAACTTTTAAATTTTTAAAAATTTTAAAAATTTTAAAAATTCAAAAGTGTTTTAAATTTTTAAAATTTTTAAAATTTTTAAAATTTCTAAACATCCCAGGGCCTGGGAAATCCGCAAACCAGGCGGCCAGGACCCCCCAGAAACTCCGGACCCCCCAAACTTTTAAATTTTTAAAAATTTAAAAATTTTAAAAATTCAAAAGTGTTTTAAATTTTTAAAATTTTTAAAATTTTTAAAATTTTTAAAAATCCCAAGGTCTGGAGACCCCGAAAACCAGGCTGAAGGAAGAAAAGGAGGGGGAGGCGAAGGGGGGGAGGAGGAGGAAGGAGGAGGAGGAGCAGGAGCAGTGACAGTGAGAGGCAGGAGGAGGAGGAGGAGCAGGAGCAGGGAGAGGCAGGAGGAGAGGAGAGGAGGAGGAGAAGGAAGTGGAGTGAGAGGAGAAGGAGGGAGGAGGGCCCTGGAAGGTCACAAGATGATATGAAAGAAAGAGAAGGGTATGAGGTCGGATACCGGTATCCCCTCCTGGTCGGCCGTACCCCTCCCTCCCTCCCTCCCTCCCTCCCTCCCTCCCTCCCTCCCTCCCTCCCTCCCTCCCTCCTCCTCCTCTCTCCTCCTCCTCCTCCTCCTCCTCCTCCTTCCTCCTCCTCCTCCTCCTCCTCCTCCTCCTCCTCCTCCTTCCTTCTCCTCCCTCCTCCTCCTCCTCCCTCCTCCTCCTCCTCCTCCCTCCCTCCCTCCCTCCCTCCCTCCCTTCCCTCCCACCCTCCTCCTCCCTCCCTCCCTCCCTCCCTCCTCCTCCTCCCCTCTCCCTCCTCCCCCTCCCTCCTCCTCCTCCTCCTCCTCTCCTCCTCCTCCTCCTCCTTCCTGCTGCTCCTCCTCCTCCTCCCTCCTGCTGCTCTCCTCCTCCCTCCTCCTCCTCGTCCTCCTCCTCCTCCTCCTCCTCCTCCTCCTCCTCCTCCTCCTCCCTCCTCCTCCTCCTCCTCCTCCTCCTCCTCCTCCTCCTCCTCCTCCTCCTCCTCCTCCTCATCCTCCTGCTCCTCCTCCTGCTCTCCTCCTGCTCCTCCCTCCTTCTCCTCCCTCCTCCTCCTCCTCTTCCTCCTCCTCCTCCTCCTCCTCCTCCTCCTCCCTCCGCCTCCCTCCTCCTCCCTCCTCCTCCTCCTCCTCCTCCTCCTCCTCCTCCCTCCTCCCTCCTCCCTCCGCTCTCCCTCCCCTCCTCCCTCCTCCCTCCTCCCTCCTCCCTGCCCCTCCTCCCTCCTCCTCCTCCCTCCTCCTCCTCCTCCTCCTCCTCCTCCTCCTCCTCCTCCTCCTCCTCCTCCTCCTCCTCCTCCTCCTCCTCCTCCTCCCTCCACCCTCCTGCCTCCTCCCTCCCCCCTCCTCTCGGCCAGTTGCGGGGATGGCGCCCCCATCGGCTCTCTGGGGGCCGCCCAAAGGGGGACCGTCCACGGTCCAGTGCGCCCGGGCCAGCCTCGTCTTGAGGCAGGCCCCGGGTTGCGACGCTGGCCGAAGGCTGCCGGCGCTCTCTGTGCAGGCCAGCCAGCGGCAAGGGCAGGGGAGGAGGGGGGGGGGGCGGAAGAAGACGGAGGCGAAACGCAAGGCGCGTGCGGCAGCAAGGGCGGCCCAGCAAAGGGGAGGGAGAGGGAAGGAGAGGGGCGGCCGGGGGCGGGGGCGGTCGGGTCGGTGATGATAGTGGCAGTGGTGGTGGTCGTGGCGCCGACTCTGGCCGTGGCCGTGGTCGTAGTGCTTGTCGGCGGCGGTCGCGGTGGTGAATGTGTCGGTGCTGGTCGTGGTCCCTCCCCTCCCTCCTCCCTCCTCCCTCCTCGCTCCTCCCTCCTCGCTCCTCCTCTTCCATCTATTTTTCCTTTCGCTCCTCCCTCTTCCCTCATCATCCCCCTCATCCCTCCTCCTCTTCTTCCTCCTCCGCTCATTCTTTCCTCCTCTTCCTCCTCTTCTCATTCCTTGCTCTTCCTTCCTCATCCTCATCCTCACCGCCACCCTAGACCTTATTCCTCCTCTTCATCGTCTTCGAGGTCGTTGTCCTCCTTCTTCTCCTCCTCCTCCTCCACCTTCTCCTCCACCTTCTCCTCCTCCTCCTCCTCCTCGCCCTCATCCTCGTCCGTCTCATCCTCGACATCATCATGATCATCCTCCTTCTCCTTCTTCTTGGCGCATCCCGCGGTTTGGTCGGCGTGGGCGCTGGCCAGCAATTTGGCTCAGTACACTTCTCAAAGCAATATCATCGCCCCCCCCCCCGCGTGGCACTTCTGGTCAAGTCAGCGGGGCCATCCGGTCTGCACCACTGCGGGGCCCGCTGCAGGGCAGCCACTCCTTCCTTCACGATCTGGAAAGGCCCGCCCCCTAGCACTTCCTCCCCAGGCTCGCCACCAATCTGAGGATCATCGGAGCGCCAAGGGCAATGATAAGGGGAGATATGCTCAGGGGGGATGCATTGACCCGCAATCGTCCATTCATTGACGATAGGGGCCCGATTGCCAGCCCCGCTTCGGAACGTGCGGATTCGCGATTGGGGGGGCCTATCGCTGACCTTTCGGCGATGTATCGCCGATTCCCGGTCGGTGCTTCCCCCCTGAGCTGGTCTACCCCCTGCCGTTGATACCCATACCTCTGCTGGCGGCACGCAACAAAGGGGGCAGGGGGGCAGGGGCGAATGCTTCTTGGAGGGACGCTGCTTCTTAGCAGGCGCCGGCCCTACCTCGTATAGACTCGGGGGCGACGATAGGGGCGAATAGCCCAGGAGCGGGCAGCGGGCGTTACACGTACTCGCCCGGGAGCCTTTTCGAAGACATGGATCATAGGCGCACCTGAATACATGTACACGTCGGTCGGAAGAAGTAGGTAAAAAGCATGAAGTAGGAAGGCGGATTAAGTTGATTGGGTCCAGGCCCTCCAAGAGAATAACAAAACACAGCAAAAACATGCCGATTCTTGAAGTAGGTAGATTGGGATCTGGGAATCCAAAAATACCTACTTTCAACGACCAGCGTGTACATGTATGACTCTCCCCTGGGCTATTCGCCTCTATCGTCCCCTCTGGTAGACGAGGCTCGCGCTTCCCGAGAAGCAGGGGTGCTGCTGAGACGCCTCCCCCCCCGCTCGCCCTGCCGCCCTCTGCGCGTGGCTGCCCTGATGTCGGGCATGTCCCCCTACAGGCGGATGTTGGGCGAAAACTGTGAAGACCCCAAAACATACCCCCAAAGAAGCAAGCAGATGCAAAAGCAGAGTCCCCTGACTATCTTTTGCTGCTGCTTCTGAACTTCCCTCCTGTAGAGGGGCAGGCCCGACTTCAGGCCACCCCCTGCCGCAGCAGAGCGCACGCCCGGAGCCGGCGAAGGGCCTTCTCGCCCGGGCCCACGGTCCGAGGAGCCGCCTCGCGGTGGGAGGCGGGCGGCCCAGGCGGGGCGGGCATCTCCGGCCAGGGGGGGCCCGCGAGGGCCTCCGCGGTGAGCGCTTCCTTGTGCGGCGTTTGGGCATTGGGCGGAGGAGGGGGCTGGCAAGAGGCACTTCTCCGGCTGGGCTTCTCACAAAGGCTGACGCTGACGCGCAAGGGTAGCGACCAGCGTCCGAGGATCAAAGCTTAGCGAGCAGCGTGCGAGGATCAAAACTTTTCAGCTCATGGATAGTGAGCGCTTTGTGATTCGGCGTTTCGACATTGGGCGGAAGAGGGGGGGAGGGGGCAGGTCTGGCTCCGGACCTCTGCTCAGTGCGACTGCTTGTGACAGTGCGTCCCATGGGGAGGAGACTCTGCCCGCTCGAGACAGGCGCCAGAAACAGCCAAGATCCACTCTACGGGGGGAGGGAGGGAGGGCCAGCGCCGATCGGCAAAACAAGGAATAACAAAACGATCACATGGGCCATCGTGCGGTGCAGGTTCGAGTGCCTTCGGCGGCGAGTGCTTCGGCGGCGCGCCGAGGGGTCGAAGTGAGGAGGGGGCGGGCCCTCTCAGAAGGCGGCGGGACATCGGAGGTCTCGGGAAGCTCCGCGGAAGGCGGGGCAGGCCTTCTGAGGCTCCTGAGAAGGCCCGCCCCCTTCTGCCTTCCCCCCCTGGGCGCCGAGTGCTGCGGGGGCTTTCGTCGCCCTGGCGGGGGGGGGAGCACTTCCAGGTATTCGGCCCCGAGGAAGCAAGTTTCGCCAGCGCTGTGAGAGTGTGCCCATTCATCGCTGCTCTGGGTCCGACCATGTCCTTTCACAACCCGTCCTGTCTGTCGTGTGTTAGCTTGCCGCCGACTTCCCATCGCATCATTCCCACAGCCACAAGACTGCCACGGCGGCCACCAGAGGTCACTGCGAATCTCGGGAGAGCGGATCAAAAAGGTGGAACAGCCGGCCGCGTCCATTTTTAACGTTGCCAACTTGCGGCAATCACACACCCGTGTTGGCGTTCATGCTGTGTGCTCCTTCTCGGGGGCCCTCGGGAAGAGCCCTCGGGAACCCAACGGGGCAGATGTGACCTACCCCGTGCTGGCACCGAGACCCAACGGGGCTATGCGACCCCATGTTGGCCATGACCGCCGTTCCAGTACAGAGGCCTGGTGACGCAAACAGAACGGATGGCGCCATATCTGATAAAAGCCACACAAAGAAGACGATGCGGAGGAAACGACGGACGACGACACCACCGACGACGACGGGGAGATCCTTGCGGAGCTCCCGCCGCCACACTCTGGGGCGACGCTGCCCAAGCCCGCCTGCGGCAGAGACCACAGCGTGCCGTAGGACGCATTCCTCCGGGTCGGAGGAGCGACGAGCGAGCGGATAATATCAGAGGCCTTTGAATCGGCACCAATAGCAACAAAGCAGGGTGTCTCAGGACGAGGACGAGAGGAGGGGCAACAGGTGGATTGTGGACAAAGGGGGCGATTCTACAGCCTTTGGATCGTTTCGGTCCTTTCCGGGGTCGCACGAAGCCATAAACTCCTGGATACGTCTCGATCGAGGGCTCTGGGGACCTCCGGGGGCTTCAAGATACCCAAAGTATCTGGAGAGAGGACACGGAATGAGGATGAATGGGGCCGAGTGGAAGGGCGCGATGGAGGCGGAGAAGGCCGAGAGGGATGCAGGCGGGCCAGGACGTGAAGGGCAGCTTGTAGGGAACGGGGCGGACGGGAGGGGGGAGGGAGGGAAAGGGGGAAAGAAGAGGGGGCAGTGGATGGGGCGGTAAGGAGGAGCAGTGCGCGCAGGCATGCCCATGCACACATGCAGTGCGCACATATTTCCAAAACGTTTTCGGTCATGCGTGCTGTACTGGAGTATTTCACCTCGAACACGTTCTCTGTGAGGCAGTTATTTTTGATAGAAGATAAGGTAGGCCAATACCACAGCCATGATGATCATTGTCATCACGATTCGTCTGTCAGCTATTACTCGCCAAACCCCTTTATGTATCTGGTAGGGCAACCAACAAACATGGAAACTGTATCGGGCATCTGGATAACCTTATCAAATACGTAGACGCTCCAAGTCCATATCCTGTCAGCCTGCACGCCATCAACGAAGCCGTACCCCCGTCGGAAGGCAAGCGTGATCGTCGCCAGCGATCCGCCAGAATCTCCCTCACGGGACGCTTCCGCCACGAACGGGGGTAATAATGTGCAGCAGGCAAGCTCAACCGTCACCGACAATTGGCCAGACTCTCCCTCACGGGACGTTCCCGCGCACTCTGTCGGCTGAAAAGTAGATGTGGAACAAGTGTACGGCGCATCTCAAGAAAGTACCCACCGTCCACTCATTCGTCGGCCCCCCCCCCGTCAGAAGACAAGCTCACCCGTCGCCGACAGTTGGCCAGAACCTCACTCTCGAGACTCTTCTGCAACGAACAGGGGGGAAGCTGGCGTGGAAAATGGCATGGATGAACATCAGGTGGCTAGCGCATCTCAGAAAAAGTACCCACCGTCCACCCGATCGTCGGGCCCCCCGTTCGAATGTACAATTCCGTGCTTGTCGTTCCATGACAGTGAGCGCGGCCGCTCTCGCGCGCGGGGCCCGCGCTGTAATGGCCTGCAGTAGATGGCGCAATTGTTAGTCGCGCCGCGTCGCTGCTGCGGGGTTGCTGCCGGCAAGGCGCGTCTCCTTGCTGCCTCCGCTGCTCCTGTGTCAGCCGCGCGGGCGTATTCCCAGAAGGGTACCCTTCAGGTGAGCTGTCCTCCTCCTTCTTGTGGGCTTTGATCTTCTTGATGGCAAAATGCTCGGCTCCCTTGCAGGTTGACGCCGTGCTCGATTGCCCTTCAGAGGTCCTGGCGGGTCTTCAGCTGAGTCTACTCGCCACTGAAGATGGCCGTTGCGACTTTCACGCGATGCGCCGACGTGCCCAACTTACCCGACTTACTCAACTTACTCAACTAGTGGGCGCCATACCCAACTTACTCAATGCCGCGCCGCTGCCGCTTCAACTCGCTGTGCTCCTTGCGCGACCGACGCATGTGGCGCATTGACGTTCATGGCATGGCTGGGGCCGCAACGCAAAGCATGCCCACTTCGGCGGAAGCGTAGATCGCCGGCCTAGCCAGGGCAGGCCCCGTCGCCACTTGCCACCATGAAACCTTTCTCGGCTAGTACCTGTTCGTCGCAATCTCCATGATGTGGCGAGGTGGCAGCGGTGGGCATTCGGGGAGTAGGCTGGCGCCAAACTGATCATACTCTGGCCGGTAAAGCATCAGGCCACAATGCTTGGTGCACGGTGGTAGTGCCCATCATGATTCCAGCGTGTACAAACTATTCGACTTTCACCGTTTCGCATCCCAGCTCGTGCATGTGAAGATGATGTGATCCATGTCCCCTACCTCCGCCGAACAGAAAGGGCAACCTCTATGTGTCTTATTTCCAGTGATCTGAGCCAATCTCGGGCCAGCGCTGGTGCTACCCTGGAGATGTGACTTTAGGAAAGAGGGCTTCTGACCCCGTGAGCTTCGGAATCACGGGTTCCAGTGGGCGCTGGGGGCTTCCACCATCTGGGTCGTTGTTCAGGTCGGCGGTTCCTTCAGCAAACGCGCGTTCCGCTTGTCGTAGGATTGCCGTGGGTGCGTGGTAGTTCAGCTGGGAGAGACCCCGCGTGCCTTTTCTCTTGGCTAGCTGCCTGCCGAACGTATTCGGTCATGCGCGCCATGCCTTTCGGCTAATGTAGTGTTGGTCCGCCACAGCTTCGCCGCGACATCTTGCCCCCCGTCCCCATCCAAAACAAAAAAAGTTGAAATCAATCCAGGAACGAGAGATTAGTGCTCGTGCACATTTCAGCTAACTCTCGTATATCACGCTATCGTGCCCAGAATGCTCCCGCGGAAACTCTTCGGCGCCCATTTGGCGCTCGCGGGCTGTCCGTGAAGCCCGCCAAGAGAACCCCGGACCCGCCCTCGAAACTCGCCGTCCCCAGGGGGCCGCGGTCCCCTGTGTAGGGTCGTGGGGTTGATTTCGGCGCCCGTGTCCCTCGATTCGATGACTGCGTGGCTCTTCTGTGGGCGCCCTTTGGGGCCCTCTTGGGCCTCTCCTGTTGGAATCCCGGGCTTTTTGTAGCCCTCTTGGGGCTCTTGTGGGGACGTTTTGCACGTTTTGTGGGTTCTCCGACGCCCTCTCGGTGTCTTAGGCCTAATCCTCACACATAGCCAGGACGCGCTCGACGCTCTCAAGGTTTTGCCTGAGTTGGGCAATCTGGGGGTCCGCGTGGAACCCTTTAAGGTCTCTCTGGGGACCATTGTGGAGCCTCTTGGGCCCTCTCGGGCCCAATCTTGGGATGTTTTAGGCTATCGTGGGGTCGCTCTGGGCCAGCCTGGGCCCATCCTGGGCTGTCTTGGGGCTCTTTTGGATCATCTTGGGCTCATTGCGGCCATCTTGGCACAATTTTTTGCCAGTTCCATGCCATCCAGGGCCCCCCTTGGGGCCCTTGTGTGACCTTGTTGCATGCGTTGTGGGTTCTCCGAAGTCTGCCTGCAGCTGCTGCCTGGGCTCGAATATGAAGAAATAGCATGCCCATGACCGTGAGATTCGGAACCTTCCAAGCGCATTGCCTGAGCGCTTCGAGCACACATGTTTACTGTTTCCCGTCACGGCGCGGCAGAGGCGATCCGCTCGCACCTCGAGCAAATCTGGGCAGCGTAATTGCGAATTCACACATGCTGACATGCGAGTCCACGTTCACGGAAAGCTCGCTCTGACATAGTATGCATTCGAATGTTGTGAACACTGGCCCTCGCCCAATCTGCTTATATATTTTCTCTGTTCTCATTCTTAGACGAGCCTGTGACGAAATTTCACTGGAGTCTCCACTCGATTTCGTACGTTACATACTTATCAGTGAGCAAACTACAGCTTGCGGTGGATCAGGCTCCAGGCAGTCCTAAACACGAAGCCAATGGTCTTAGTAAACCGTAGCGTTCTCGCATTCGAGACACATTTGGTTATGATGCCTGCGACATCAGCTCTTGCATCTCATCGCGCTAACTTCAGCAGCCGCTTCAAACCTGTCCCATGACCTCGCATGAGCTCGTTCAGCACGTTTCTGCATATCTGAGCCCTACCAATGCGCAGCAACTCTAACAGCGGACGAGTCTGGAGGGATGGAGACGGAACACCATATTTCCTTCACCTTGCTCTGCAAATGCGCGTTAAGCGAACACCTGGCGTCATCCAGGGTAGACTTGTTCGAAAGGCTGGTCGCTCCTCCTTTGAGCATGTACACTAAGACCTTAAGCGTGTGCTTCCAAAGCCTACCAACCATATGTGTTGCACTTTTCTTTGTGGTAAGACAAACTGCCCAATATGTATAAACCGCCCAACATGCATCGATCAAGCTGCCAAATCTCTCCGAGAGGTCAGGTGACGGACGCACCAAAACGCAATGCTGAGCCTGTCGCAAGGAGGGAGGAGGATGATAGTATACAGGATACTCTAGCGGTGCACATGACGGATGCTCCTGCAGAAGGGCCACCCCCCGGGAGAGTCGAAACCAATTCAGACATGCGGACGACGAGGATGGAGCAGGAGGGAAGAGGCGAAGGAGGAGGCCCAGGAAGAGAGAGAGGAAGAGGAGGTGGCAGAACAACAACAGAAACAAAACGGGCCGTAAATGCAACGGAGACCGTGAGCGGCACGCCCGAGGATGCCTGTGGTCAGCCCGCGGCGGGATAGAGCAGAGTGCACCGCGAGAGGAGGAGGATGAGGAGGAGGGAGGAGAAGGGAGGATGACAAGGAGGAAGGAGAAGGAGGCGGAATAGGAGTAGGAGTAGGAGGGAGAGGAGGAAGAGGAGGAGGAGGAGAAGGAAGAGGAGGAGGTGGAAAAGGAGGCGGAGGAAAAGGAAAAGGCGGAGGAAGCAGAGCAGGAGGGGGATAAGAGGGAACCCTTGGGAACGCGGGCGCTCGGCTCCGCCCGCGGGGGCCACGGAACCGGAGACGACCAACCTCGGGGCGCTTGGCACCCGGCCATCAGGTCACGGGCACCCGCCTCCGCTCACGAGGGGCTGATCGGGGGCCCCAAAGGGCCGGCTCCCGGGCGCGCGCGGGCTGCACTCTCGAAGGGGCCCGGCCGTGGCTGCAAGGGCGCCCCGGCGTCCAGAGAGCCTCCGACGCTGAACGAAAGGCGACTTGCCGTGGGGCCCGGCGCACCCGCCTCTGCTCGACGATCCTCAGAACGCGTGTTGGCGCCAACTTGCGCTGGTCCGTCGGAGCCCTCCAATATGGCGCAGGTGGTGCAATGATGACCGACACTGGCTGAGCGGGGTAGACACACGTTGGGCTTACACACGTCCTGAGGATCATCGGGGTGCTCACGCGGGCCACGGGCGGGGGGCGTGTGGCACGAAGCGCGATGGGCCGCGGGACGTGGCGCACGGCTCTGTTTGCAGGGGGGGCTCCTCGGGGGGCCACGCGGCGCGATGGGCCGTGGGCCACGAGGGTTCGCTTCATTCCTCGGCCCTCGAAAGCGGACACTTCGAAAAATATCCGCTCTGCCCGAAGTTTTCTAAATGTGTTCTGAAACGTTTTGGTACTGCTTGGGCCTCTGGAAGCTGCTGGGGACTTCTGGAAACCAATGCGATCGAAACGCTATCGCATGCTGTCGCGTGCTCCCGAATGGCCGCTGCATGGCGGCAGATACCGTGGTCCTGCGGGCCCGCGGCTTCTCCCCCACCCAGGCTTGTTCAGCCGCGGCGCGGGGCTCCTGGCGTTCATCTCGTACTCCACGTAAAAATAATTGTCCTCGTCTCCGCGCCAGCGGGGACCCACGTCAGCGTTGCCGCCGCCGCCGCCGCCACCGCCGCCGCCGCCGCCGTCGTCGTCGTCGTCGTCGTCGTCGTCGTCGTCGTCGTCGTCGTCGTCGTCGTCGTCGCCCGCCCCGAATTATGGCTCTCGCATTGACGCTGGTCTCGCGCCGTGTGCAACGCGGGCGGACTATGCGTCTCGGTGAATCACCACTTTGTTGCGCGCGCGTCATCCGCCCCCCCCGCGCGCGTGCCAGCGGCGCGCGCCTGGCTCGTCTCGCGCTGCTGGCACGCGCGCGGGGGAGGGTGACGCGCGCGCCCGCGCGCATCGCCAGCGCGCGCCAATCCCGCCGCGCGTCACGCGCGCGCGCGAAGGCATCAGCACGCGCGGAATTCCCAGCGCGGGCTCTTGGATTCCTTCCTATCGTTAGGACCCCATCCCTCAGGACCCGATCTTTGAACCACCGATTTTGACTCTTCGACGCAAGCCACAGATGAGGCGTCCGAATTTTGCCGCCAAGGGAGCGCTGAGGGAACCCTGCGCCGCACCCTTTCGGAAGAGAGCGCAGCGCCGGCGACCGGCGGGCCCCGAACCTTTACAGAGACGCCGCCCCCACCTGTCGTCTCGCATGCCTCAGACCGTTCGCCCTAATCCTGCTCCCATCCCTCTTTAGCGGGCGAAGAAACAGCATAAGCACAAACTTTTGACAGTCCGCGCGGATTTCTTGAATCGGCGCTGGGCCCCCCTGGCGGCGCCTCTGGCGCCTCCAGAACCGACCCTGGCGCGCTCCGCGCAACAGGGAGGGGGGACCTGCCCAGATCCAAGAAACCCACGCGGAGCTCCAAAAGCTTATGTTTGTGTATTTGTTTCGTCTTCCACTCCTGCGAGGCGTCAACGAAGACCTCGAAGTCGTCGTCAAAATACGGTAACACTGGCGTGTCTCTCCAAACGCTGCTCTCCAGCTCGTCGCAGTGGCCGGCCACCGTGGCGGCGACGTGCCTCCCCCTCGGGTGTCTTCAGCGCGCGGCAAAAACACAAACGACATTGCGATGACCGCGACACGTATCATGTACACTCAATGCGCGCAGGTCCAGAGCCCAGCATCTGCAAGTGCCGTCGGCGCCATTAGAGCAACAAGCAACTCCATGAACGACATGTCTCAGAGGACCGCGCGGATCTCTTGGATCGGCGCTGGACGCCCCTCCCTGGCGCGCGGAGCGGGCCAATGTCGGCGACAGAGGCGCCGCCAGGAGGACCAAGCGCTGATCCGAGAAATTTGCTCGGACCTCCGAACATGGCTGTTTGTGCAGCATGTTCTTCTTCGAAGAGTGCCGCGTCGAACCCCCAGGGACTCTCCAGAGGCACAGCCGCCCCGTGGCGGCGTGTCCGGAGCTTGGACGCACAAATTCTGCCGCAGCAGGTGCGCTGTGGGGCCGGAAAGAAGTTGGGACGGATGGGGACGAGCGTGCGGAGGAGTGTCAACGACGACGGCGGCGACGACGACGGCGACGACGACGACGACGGCGACGGCAACGGCAACGGCAACGGCGACGATGGCGGCGGCGGCGGCCGGGTAGGGTGAGCGGGCGGCGGCCAGAACAGTCGGGGGCGGGTCGAAGCCCCGCAACGATCTTCACGAGCTCCCCTGGACACGTCCTATGTTTCGCTTCTGATGGCGCAGACCAAACCTCAACGAACCGATCCCTATCTGCCGCGCTGGGCAATCACAACTCCTCGCTCTCTGGCTCGGTCGCCTTCTTGGCTACCATTTCAAACCACTACTTCAACAACTTCGTGGTATTCTCGTTCCTGGCTGCTTCACCTAACTCCATCGGCGCCTTACCGTCTTCTCCGCTCGACTTGTCGGAGATCGCGCCCGTCTCAAGCACTAACCTCCTGGTGTCCATGTGTCTCGCCCTTCTGCCCCAAGCGGCCAAGTGTATTCGGGCATTGTCATCAATGTTTGCCGTGAGGATCTGATCGGTGACCGAACACATCTGAACCATCTCCGTTCGGTCTGCGCATGAGGCAGCATGTAACGGCAATGAGCCTCCGTGATCGCGAATGCTGGGGTCAGCACGATTGCCGAACAAGAGTTTGAATGACTTCCTCTTGTCTATGAAGGCAACAGGCATCAAAACAATATGGTCATCGTGGTCTCTTGCGCTGATATCCGCCTTGGCATCTGAGGCGTCCTGGATCGACCAGGGGTCGTTCGTTATGACGGCCGCCCACATGTCGGCAGCGCAAGCAATAAAAAGAGGGCAGAATAACCACCCTAATAAAAACAACACCCCAACAAGCGAAGCCCTTTAGCACACGCACCTCGTAAAAGGGATCGAACAGGACAGGGCTGTTCAATAAACGCCCAAGGCAGTTTAGTGACTGCCAAATATGGAGGTCCGGGTGGATCAATGAAGGGGCCCAGGGACACACAAACAAATATACATAAATAACAAGGTTCCCCATAATTTCTAGGTTTTCGTCTTCCCCCCCACTTCCCATACTTTCCCATATTTTCCTGGGAGGCGACGATTAATTGTGTCTGTGTGTTTCTTCCCCTCCTGACCAAACGAGGGACGAAAGGAACAGGATCTTATGCACGGTGGCATAGCGACCTTGAGCGGTGGCTTGCGCGGGCCGCCAACGCGCACGCCCCACTGGCGACGAGTCCGCTTTTTCGCGCGACCTGACGCGAGCACTTTTCGTGCCGCTGTCGGCGAACTCGACGCGCTCCCAAGCGCTCCCAAGCGCTCCCGCGCGCTCCCGGTCCCGCGCCTCCGGTCCGGCTCCTGCCGCGCTCCAAGGCGCTCCCAGGCGCTCCCAGGCGCTCCCAGGCGCTCCCAGGCCGTTTTCTCCCGTCGCTCGGAATGGCTCGGACCAGAAACGGCAGCGGAGTTGTCCTGGAGCGGCCCCAGAGTGGTCCCCGGGTCGCGCGTCGGGGGCCGCTGCTCGAGGCCGTCTCTCCGCGCGCGCGCCCCCCGAGGCCGCGGAGTGGTGGCCGCTGCTGCCTGGCGGTGTTCTGTGGCAGCTCACGCTCGCGGGGGCCTCCCATGCCATCTTGCTGGCCCTTGCGAATCGACGCTGGCCGACGCTAGTCGACGCTACTCGGCGCTCAATCGACACCAGTCGACGCTAAATCTGCGCTTTCCCATCGACTGCCAGACGCCAGCGCACGCCAGCGCCCTCTGAAGCTCTAACGACGGAGTTGCGAGGACACGCGAGCCTCCCATGACTTGCTGCCGCAGCAGTGGCTCCCTTGCTGTCGGAACTGTCCCAGGGAACTCTCCTGGCTCGGGAGCCGCTGCTCGAAGCCGCCTCTTCTCGCGCGGGCAGCCAGGGAGGCACGAGGCGAGTCAACCCTGCGCAGCCCTGCGTGCGGCCCTGCAGCCTCGGAGGAGAAGCGCCGAGGCAGACTGCATGAGAGATGAGACAACAAACTAAGGGCAAGATACAGGTATCCCAACTGTTCTATGTCGTGCTACGCTGTCGTCTACCCTGCATGGCACAATGCCCAGCAATGCAGTGCGATGCATTGCAAGGCAAGGCAATCTGCTTCTCATTGTGCCAGCCACGAACTTCAGGATACCCCGCAAACATAGAAAGGTGATGCATCATCAGTACATTCGAACAAACAATCAAAACGATGCACGGCAACGTACAGTAATGCGTTGCAGACCACTGCAAACACATGCTATGCGGAACAAAGCAAATGCAATGCGACCCCAGGCAGTGTAGCACAGTGCAAAGTACGATAAGCAACATCATGTAAGGCACATCAATCCGATGCCAACCAATGGCCCGCAACTCGAATTCAAAGGCAATGGGTATCTGATGCAGTGAAATGCAGTGCTGGGTCACTCCTGGGAACCACCCTCCATCCCAGTCCTTGAGCGAAGCGTGGCGCCGATGTACACGAAGGCGTCGTCCCAACGGACCTTGACCTCGGAAGATGGGGGGGAGGGTGGGTGAGCACAGGGGGGACAGGGAGGACGAGAAGGAGGCGGAGACAGAGGAGGAATCCCACCAGCCCTGTAGGGCGTGAGTGGTTTAGAGCATTTCCTCCTCCAACCCCCTTCTTTCCCTTCGGGGAGGGGTTCACCACTGCTCCTCATTAGCAAAACACCCCCTCCCCCACCCGGGCGGCGACAAACCCGGGACACTGCCCCCCCCCCCCCCCCCTCCTTCCTTCGCAAACAAATCACAATACAAAGTGCATGTTGCACCAGAATCTGGATCATGCGCTGGCGCCCCGCGATCACTTTGGAGCGGATTTCGGCAGGAGTGGCGGGGGCCGGCGTATTGCCTGCTGTACAAAGCACACTGTGTCCCAACATCTGCATCATGTGCGGGCGCCACGCGATCCATTTGCATTGGTTCTGACAGGGACGACAGGGTGGGGGGGTGGGGCGGCAGATTGCTTGCTGCGTGCCAAACCAGCACCCGCCCACCATCCATGGCAACAAGGAGTATAACATACAGTTTGCTGTCCAACATCTGGATCATGCGCGGGCGCTCCGCATTAGGCATTGCTTGCTTTTTGACAGGGGTGGCGGAGGAGCCGGCATACTGCCTGCTGTGCGGGCCCACGACCCCTCCCCAAAACACATGCGAAGTGATTGGAGGTGCACGAGCACTACACGATGCTGGCAAAGCCGCCGTTACTGCGCATAGGTTTTGACAGGGATGTTGAGGGGTCGACATATTGCCCCATGTGGCGCACCTGGTGCGCATTGCTCACCTGGCATGTGCGGCGCACCTCGCGGGCGTCGCGCACCTGGCTGGCGTCTGCATTGGTTTCCGACGGTTGTCGATGGCGGCCCCTGCCTATGCTGAGACTCGGGTGCTACTTCGGTTGTGGGAGGGCGGGTGGGAGTGAGCGAGACAGCTTGCGACCTTCCTGGTGGGAACTTGATCACTGTTCCCTATCAACAACCCCCTCCCCCAGGCGACCAGCAGCCAACCAGGAACAATGAGGACCCCATGAAGACCCCCTCCCAACCATCCTTGTCAACACACAATTCGACACACACTCTGCCTCTAAACTCGGAGCATGCGCAACCAACCCGACGCACATTCACACCATCCCTGTCGACAATCAAAACCCATTACACTTTGGAGCAGCTTCTGGAATCATGTTCGTGAAGCCCGCGAGCACTTTGTATTGTTGCTTTGGCAGGGACGGCGGGGGTGTCATCATATTGCCTTCTGTGCGCAGGGCTATGACAACAAACAATACTAAACGCACCTCGCGGCAAAATCTGGATCATGCGCGGCCACCACGCGGTCATTGTCAAGCGGTTGTTGACAGGGACGGCGGGGGTGGTGGCGTATGGTCTGCTGTGCGCAGGCCCACCAGACACAATGATGGGCATTAGTTTTCGACAAGGACGGTGGGGGCCGACATGTTTCCCGACGTGTGCTGTCACGTGCGCACGCGCACCTGACGCTCTCTGCACGTGCCCTGGACGTGGCACGCCTGGCGCGGCTGGATTATGTGGCACACCTGGCGCTCGCGGAGGCGCGTGGCGCATCTGGAACACCAGGCGTGCCTGGCACGCTCGGGCCCAGGGGTGCCTGGCGCGCCTGGCACGCGTGGCGCACTTCGCCCCAGCGTCGTGCACATGGGCTCGCTTAGTCAGGAAAGTATCGGCTGCGCGGGCGCCCGCCAGGGGAAACACCCTCACGCGAGGGCTGGGAAGAAAGCTCCAGGCCAGGAGCGGGAGTATGGCAACTACTCGCGCGATCCGCAAAGCCCCCTCCGTGCATCAGAGGCCTAGCTGGGCTCGTGCTCGCACACGGCGGGCTCGCGTTTGGTTCCTAGTAGCTGTTCATCCAACGACGACCGCTGAACATGCTGAGGCTCGGGTGTTGCTTGTGTGTTGGGAGGGCGGGTGGGAGTGAGATACACGGCTTGCTCTCTAGAAGGGTGTCTTGACCCCTCCCCCTACCCCCCCCCCCGCTGGAATTGTAGGGGGGGTGGTCGCGGGTCGATGGGGCGTCCAGGAAGGCCCCAACGAGAAGGCACACATCATCATTGATTGTATTCAGGTTCTGGGCAAATGTTGGCCTTCTGGGGGGTGGGGGGAAATCCCTCCAGCCCCCTGGGCGCAGGTGGTTCAACGAACTTTGTTTTCTATCTTCCAACAGCCCCTTCCTTCCCCTGCTCGGGGGAGATCTTTTTCTCACTGTTCCCCATTAGTATAGACCCCCTCCGCCAGGCGACCAGCAGCCAGTCAGGAAACATGCGGGCACCCCCCCATCATCCCTGTCAGGCAATACAAAACGCACTCTGGCTCCAAATCCAGAGCATGCGCAACCAACCCGACGCGGCTTCCCCACAATCCATATCACAACACAATGCGCAATACACTTCGGGCCAACTTCTGGGGTCATGTTCCTGAGGCCCGCGAGCACTGTGTATTGTTTGTTGGCAGGGGCGGTGGAAGTGTCAGCAACAACAAACAATACAAACATGTACCTCGCGGCTAAATCTGGAGCATGCGCGGCCACTCCGCGATCATTGTCAAGTGGTTTTTGACGGGGACGGCGGGGGTGGTGGCGTATGGTCTGCTGTGCGCAGGCCCACCAGACATAATGATGGGCATTGGTTTTCGACAAGGATGGTGGGGGGCGGCATGATTCCCGATGTGTGCTGTCACGTGCGCAGGCGCAACAAACACACTCTGCACGTGCCCCGAGCGTGGCGCACATGGCGCGGCTGGAGTATGCTGCACACCTGGCGCACGCGGAGGCGCGTGGCGCATCTGGCGCACCAGGCGTGCCTGGCACGCTCGGGCCCCAGGGGTGCCTGGCACGCGTGGCGCACCTCGCACCAGTATCGCGCGCATGGGTTCGTTTTTGGCTTCCAGTAGCTGCCCATCAGAAGACGACCGCTGCACATGCTGAGGCTCGGGTGTTACTTATGTGTTGGGAGGGCTGGTGGGAGTGAGCTAGACGGCTTGCTATCTAGAGGGTGTCTTGATCACTGTTTCATCTGAATATACACCCCTTCCCCCATGCGACCAGGGGCCAAGCAGGCACCATGCCGACACCATGCCGACCCGCCCGTCACCATCCCTGTCCAAAGATAGGATGATACCCGAGAGAAGCCCCAATCATAATCATTGTTGGCGCTATGAGGCTGTAGGGCGATAGGGCTGTGGGGCTATGGGGCTATAGGGCTAGAGGGCTGGAGGGCTCTAGGGCTATTGGGCTGTTGGACTAGAACTAAAGGGCTATAGGGCTATTTGGCTATAGGTCTATAGGATTATTGGGCTATAAGGCTATGTGGCTATAAGGCTATAGGGCTGTAGGGTTATGGGGCTATAGGGCTGGCTATAGGGTTATAGGGCAATAGGGCTTTAGGGCTGTAGGGCTATCGGGCTAAAGGGCTAGAGGGCGAGAGGGCTAGAGCGCTAGAGGGCTAGAGTGATAGAGGGCTACAAGGCTATAGGGCTATAGGGCTGTAGGGTTATTGGGCTATTGGGCAACAAGGTCATACGGCTATATGGCTATAGGGCTGTACAGGCTATATGGCTATAGGGCTATAGGGCACCCGGGCACTCGGCACCCGGGCGGGCCGCCGAAATCGGCGACGCAGCTCCTGGGCACCCGGGTGGGCCGCCAACATCGGCAACGCAGCTAACCTAACCATATGAATCCGCTAGCATCCCTACAGATGCAAGCTCTGATTGTGGAATGAATCCGCCAGGACCCATACAGAGGCAAACTCTGATTGGGGATCAACCGCACTCAGCCTCCACATTTGGAGCATGCGCGGCCAACCCGATGCGCTCCCCCCCCCGCCATCCCTGTCAAAAAAGAAATGCAAAGTACACTTTGGGGCAAAGTCTTGAATCATGTTCGCGAAGCCCGCGAGCACTTCGTATTGTTTTTGACAAGGATGGCGGGGATGTCCCTGCTGTGCGCAGGGCTACCACCCCTGACAAAAAACAATACAACATGCACCTCGCGGCGAAATCTGGATCATGTGCGGCCATCACGCGATCACTGTCAAGTGGTTCTTGACAGGGACGGCGGGGATGGTGGTGCGTGGTCTGCTGTCCGCCCGCCGAGCAGACACAATGAGGAGCACCGGTTTCCGACTAGGATGGCGGGGCCGACATGTTTCCCGATGTGCGCTGTCACGTGCGCAGGCGCACCTGACGCACTCTGCACGTGCCCCGAACGCGGCGCACCTGGCGCGGCTGGAGTGTGCGGCACACCTGGCGCACTCGGAGTACGTGGCGCATCTGGCGCACCAGGCGTGTCTGGCACGCTCGGGCCCCAGGGGTGCCTGGCGTGCGTGGGGCCCCTGGCACGCGTGGCGCACCTCGCCCAAACGTCGCGCACCTGGGGTCGGCTTTGGCTCCCAGTAGCTGTCCATCCAAAGACGACCGCTGAACATGCTCAGAGTGGCCGGGTGGGAGCGTGACCCCTCCCCATACCCCCTTCCCTCGGCCTGGGAGGAGGGGGGGGGCGGCGGGGCAGTAAGAGCGTCCAAGATGGCCCAGTATGGTCCCAAGAGGGCCTCTGAGAGCGCAAGATTGCCTTCAAGATGGCTCAATCCTCAAGATGGTTCAAGATAGCCTCCGACACACATCCAAGAGGCCTCAAGACGGCCCCAAGGCGGTTTCAAATGCCCATCGAGTTCTCCAAGGACTCCTCCGAGAGACCACCATCCTTCAAACACTTTAAAACATCAACATGTTTTTGGCCGTCTCGCCTTTTCGCTTCCGATTGGCTTTTGAGGCCTCAAGGTGGCTCCAAGACGACCCAAGAAGGGCCCAAGAGGGCCCCCAAGAGAGCCCCTGAGAGCGGCCACGAGCGCTCCAAGGCAGCCCCCAAAGGGACCCAACACTGCATCTGTTGTGCCTCCCAGGAGAGGGGGGCTGAATTGACAACCCACCTCTTTCTGAGCCATGAGGCCCGAGAAGGCCCCACGAGACCTCCCAGACCCCTCCATAGAGCCCCCCAAAGGCTCCTAGACCTGCCCAAACCGCCCCAAGATTGTCCCAAGAGTGCCCCAAGTGGCTCCGCGAGGAGGCCCAAGAGAAACCCAAGATGGCTCCAAGAGACCTCCGAGAAGACACTTCCAAGGCGGTTGCTACACTGCATGCTTCTAAACTTCCCTGATCAAGGCAGCTCGCCTGGCGATCTGCTTCTGGATGGGTTGGTGGGGATACGCAAAACGTCAAACATTTTAGCCTCCTGGGGGCACTAATTTAGGAGCCCCCTTCTGTGATCGATCATCTCCAAGATGGCTCGACGATGGCCCCCAAGGCTTCCAAGAATGCCTGGAGAGGGCCCCAAGATGCGCCAGGCGGCCCCAAGAGGCCCTCAAGAGGTCCCCAAGAAGCTCTCAAGAGATCTCCAGGCGGCCCCAAGAGACTCCCCAGAGGCACACAAGACCGACAAGACGCCCCCAAGACGCCGCAAGAGGACTCCGAGAAGCCGCCAAGATGCATACAAAGAAACTCCGAGAAGCATCCACGAGGCCTCTGGCTACCATGCTCGCTCTCCTCCTCCTCCTCCTCCTCCTCCTCCTCCTCGTCATCATCATCATCATCATCATCATCATCATCATCATCATCATCATCATCATCATCATCATCATCATCAGCATCATCATCATCATCATCATCATCATCATCATCATCATCATCATCATCATCATCATCATCATCAGCAGCATCCTCTGCCTGTGCCTCCTCCCTCCCTCCTCCATGTTCCCCCTACCCCTCTTCCCCCTCTTCTTCCGATTCCTCCTCCATCCTCCCACTCTCGGGGAATGACGGGTTCCCCAGCCCAGTATTCCACTGCATGCTCCTCCACAGCCCTGATCAAGGCAACTCGCCAGGGCATCGCTTCTGGATGGACTGGCGGGGTTGTGCGACGCGTCTAGAATATGACAAGGGACGGAAGGAAAGCAGGAGGAGGAGGAGGAGGAGGAGCATGAGGAGCATGAGGAGGCAGAGGAGTAGGAGGAGGAGGACCAGTGTAAACACAAGGGTCATCAACGATGTTGGAGTAAACCCTCCCTCCAAGCTCCCTCTTGATAGGACCCTCTAACGGTTCATTTCCATTGATGGGACTGCCTGGTTGGAAGACACACCCGTTTGAAGACCCTGCAGCATGCCAAGACATTGTTCTCGGGATTCCAACGCCACGGATCAATCTGACTGTTGCGTCTTGACGATCCTGAATCGTGCCAGAACGCCATTCCTAGGACTTCAACACAAATATTCAATGTAACCGCTGCACCCGCATAATCATGAATCCTTTCAAACACCATGTCTGCTACGCTGATGATGGGAGTCCGTGAAACTCTTGCAAGTTCTTAAAACGAATGTGCGCGGCGCTAAGGCGAAAACCACATTTTGAAAACCATCCGCCCTCAATCCGTGAAGCTCTTGCAAACTTTAAAAACGAATGCGCGCCGCACTAAGGCGAGAAACACATTTTGAAAACGACTCGCCGTCAACGGGTGAAACTCTTGCAACTTTTGAAACGAATGTGCGCCGCGCTAAAGCGAGAACCACAATTTAGAAACCATCCGCCCTCAACCCGTGAAGCTCCTGAACATATTCTAAAACGAATATGCGCGGCGCTGCGGCGAGAGCCACATTTTGAAAACCACCCGCCCTCAATCCGCGAAGCTCGTGCAAACTTTTAAAACGAATGTGCGCGGCGCTAAGGCGAGAGCCACATTTTGAAAACGACCCGCCCTCCATACTGATGCCATTTCTAAGCTTCAGAATCATAAATGGTGAGGAAGTCTCAGGCGAAACGCCCAACTCGCCCTAAAAACTTGCCTCGGGGTGCGACAGGGAGAAATTATTCATAAGGACAAGGAATGGAAGAGGAGCATGAGGAAGGAGAGGAAGGTCTGTGGCTGGGCCCAAGCCCACAGGAGGCCGGCCCAGCCTGCCTCCCCCTCCCCTCGCACGACTCGGGGGGAGGCCATGCTGGCAGGAGGCGGGGCGCACCACCCGCGACGACGGGTCAACGGCCACAAGGGTGCGCTGCGGCGCGGGGCCCTTCCGCACCGCTGTGGACACCGCTGTGGAGCGGCCAGGAAAGGGAGCCGGGAAAAACGTCGGTCGGATCGGGCACTGGGGCGATCCTCGTGCCGTGCCCGGGGAATAGCTCACACCTTAGTGGGCCCTGGAAGCGACAGGGCCGTTTTTTTACCGGTTCCGTTTTGCAGCTTTTGTTGTCGGTTCCCGCTCCAATTCCACTCCTGGAGCCGTTTTTGTTGCCGTTTCCGGTCGCCGTTATTTTTGCCGTTGCCATTTTCAAGGGACTCGGTGAGAAAACGGCCCTGCCGTTTCCGGGGCCCACTAAGCCTCACACCCCGTGGGCCAGGGGCAACGTAACTCTTATTCCGCACGCCAGCACATCAGTGTGAGGAGGGTGCCCAGCCCTGAACCCGAGCTCGCCACGCGGTGCCAGGCCCGCCCGGCACAGACCAGCAGGGGCGGCGGCGGACGGGGGAGGAGGGAGAAGGTCCGTTGCGCCGGGCAGCGGCCTCCCGGCTCCTCGCTGCTACCCATGCGTGCCGAATGCCTCACGCACGCCCGCGCGCCAGCGGGCCCGCCACCGGCGAAACCCGCGCGCGCCGCGCGCAGCGAGCAGTGCGCAACGCGCGTGCAGGAGGGCCCCCCCGCTGGATCGCCGCGCGCGCCTTGGTCGGGTTCCGCTCCCCAGTGAAGCGCTCGGCGTACTCCCTGGACGCCTCCTTCCAGGAGACGGCGCCCAAGTTCTCGAAGCGCGGGCCGGCCAGGTCGAGGAAATTGTCCTCGGCGGCCCTGCTCTCCCAGCGCCCACCGCGCCGGTCCTCCCCCCGTCGGCCTCTTCCCCCTCCTGCTGCACGTTGCGCGCGTCGGTTCGCAAGCCGATTCGATGAACGTGAAGGGGCAAATGACCTGGGTGGCCAATGGAAAGCATCTCACCTCAGGAGGCCTTTAGTTTTGAAGACCCCCCCCCTGTTTCTCTCTTTGCGGGGAACAAACTCGCCCCTCCTCCTCCTCCTCCTCCTCCTCCTCATCTTGCTCCTCCTCCTCGTCCTCCGCCTCCTCCTGCTCCTCCTCCTCCTCGTCCTCCTCCTTCGCCTCCTCGTGGCCGTTATCGTAGTCGTCGTCGTCGTCGTCGTCGTCGTTGTCGTCGTCGTCGTCGTCGTCGTCGTCGTCGTCGTCGTCGTCGTCGTCGTCCCAGCGGAGATTATTTTCCCTGTATTGTTGGGCGGGCTGAATAATGTTGAGGGGTTCTTCTCCCAGGGAATAATCCAGTGTTGGGCTACCTTACGCGCGAGAGGATGTGTGATCATCTTCTCATTTGTTTTGCAATCGGAATCAGTGCTTGTGGTTGGAAGTGCGATTGCAATCGTGATTGTAATCGTGATTGTAGTCGCGATTGTAGTTGTAATCGTAGTCGCGGTTGTAGTCGCAATCGTACTCGTAATCGTAGTCGTGGTCGTCGTCGCGGCGGAGATTATTTTCCCCCAATTGTTGGGTGTGCTGGATAATTGTTTGGGGGGTTCTTTCTCCCAGGGTAGAACCCACTGTGGGCGGTCCTATACTTGAGAGGATTTGTGAACAGCTTTGTATGAGCATTGCAATCGGAATAATTGGTTGTGCTTGTAGTCGTCATTGTTGTCGTGGTTGTAGTCGTGCTTGTAGTAGTGGTCGTAATTGTAATCGTAGTCGTGGTCGTAGTCGTAATCGTCGTCGCATCGTGGTCGCAATCGTAATCGTAGTCATAGTCGTCGTCGTTGTTGTGCGGCGGGTGCCGCGGAGAAATCATGATGCTCCACTATTGGTGGGACCCCAGACCGTCAAGAAGGGCGTCGAACAGATAATTCGTTTCCACTATCGGTGTGGGGGGGCGTCTAACGGCCTAGAACATTCTAGGAGGAGAGAAAAACACAACAACCAAGCGGAGGAGAGGAAGAGGGGAAGGGGAAGATGGATGCTCGCTGCTGCTGCCCCACCGCTTCCTAGTCTCCCATCCCCCCCTTCCCACCCCCCACCCTCCCCCCTCCCTCCGTTCCCCCCGACCCGTCCTCCCACTTCCCCCCCGCCCCCCGCCCGCCCCCGCCTCCTCACTCTCCTGCCCCTCCCCTCTCTTCAATTCCCCTCTCTCCCTTGCCACCCTCCCCTCCGCCCTCCCCCCCACGGTTTCTTCCCCCTTCTCCTTCTTTCCCCTGTTTCTCTCCCTCCCCCTCCTTGCCCCCCCTCCCTGCCTGCATGCCTACTTCTCCCCGCAGAGGCTGGCAACAAAAGCATTGCACCTCTTTGGCCTTACTCCGTATTGTGCTCCGCAAGGACGGCCCCAGGCTTACAGCCCCTCCTAAAGCTGGAGTTGGAACGCCTGCGGTCTGTGATAAATAAAAAGATTCATATAACGTTTGGCGTCATCGACTGGGAAAGGATACGGATGTTGTTTGGTTTCTCGCTATACCACTCCCTACTGATGGGGACTACTTATGATGTCTTCATTGTGTCTTAAGGGGGATCGGCCCACTGACGATGCGACGCAGCTTCGCGTTGCATCCGCTCGGATCTACTTCCATCTGCTTCTGGCATGCTGGTGGGCAGTGGTCGTGAGTCCCTGCTGTGCCTGCTTGAACTGTCGCTGTACAGTGCAGCGCAGCGCATCCAGCTGCTCAGATACAGCATGCTCAGGCTGTGCAATGATACCCTTTACGTTGTCGGCCGTTGCGGTGAAGGGGATAGGGAGGTGGGATGCCACATCCGATGTCGCCTTCTCTGTCGCAGCCTCCAGAGTGGCCGGTGTCGTCTCCGAGTATATAATGGAATTCATCACTATCCGAACCCAACGGCGACTAAGGCGGCGCGCTCCATTGCGCGATTTACGCTTCCGCACGATGCTGCCACCAGAAGCTTCGCCCGTCGCCATGGTATCCCGATCGACGTGCTCAGGGCGATAAGGTCGAAACGTCGACACGGGAGCGCAGGTCAAGGACACGAGCCCATTCTCCGAACGCCCAATGGCCCATTGGGAGGCCCAAGAGAAAGGCATTCCAGGGAGGAAAGACACGACGCGAGGGAAGTGAGGCTGTCCCTCCAAAGCTAGAGTTGTCTTTCGCCCTCATGTCAGCTGTGTTCATGTGCTGCCCTCGCCCAGCGGGTTTCAAACAAGGGCGGAGGAAGGTACACGCAAGCTGGATTACAAGGGCGAGGAGTGTTGCACCTGGAAGGGGAGGCCAAGCCCAGGCTGCCCAGACCAGCATTGACCCTCGCACGCCGGTCGTCTTGGGCCAGTATTGCCAATGTTGCTTGCTGCTGCGTCATCCTTGCCGTTGGAAGGAAGGGCAACAAGAAAAGTACGAGGACCCCTTTTCACCGCGAGTGCGCTCACAAGAGCGACAAGATCTGCTGGAAATGTGCGACGCGTGCTGCCTGATGCTTGCCGTGCGCCACTCGCTGGTTCAAATCTTGGTTCAGAGCCCATATCGTTGGGGAGGGGTACTTCCTTCCTTCTACTTTTCCTTCCTCCTCCTGCTTCTCCTTCCTCCCGCTGCTGCTCCTCCTCGGTCTGGCGTCCTTTCCCACCGTTTCTGTTTTTCCTCCTCTTCCTCCTCCTCCTCCTCGTCCTCCTTTTCGTTTTCCTCCTCCTCTTCCTACTCCTCCTTCTCCTTCTCATTCTCCTTCTCCTCCTCCTCCTTCTCTTCATCGTCCTACTTCTACTCCTCGTCCTCCCCCTCCTCTTCCTCCTCGTCCTCCCTCCTCCCTTCTCTCACCTCGTCCCCTTGCCCCCATTCCCTCTTGTCCTCCTCGTCCTTCTCGTCCTTTTCGTCCTCTTTCTCGTCGTCGTCGTCCTCCTCCTCCTCCTCCTCCTCGATCCTCCTCCTCCTCCTCCTCCGCCTCCTCCGCCTCCTCCTCACGGTCCTCCTCGTCTTTTTACTCCTCCCTCCTGCCTCCTCCCCACTCCCCGCTCCCGCGCAGGGCGGGAGGCTCCAGCCAAGGCACCGCCGCCCAGGCTGGCTCGTCCAGGGCCCCGTCGACTGTCACGCATTCGCCCTCCTGAGAGTGGGGGCGGGGGACCTTCCAGTATCTCGTCGGGAGGAGGGGGAGAAGAGGGATGGAGGGAGGAGGGGGGGAGGGGGGGGGAGGGGAGGAGGGGGGAGCGGGGACTTCCAGCATCCCGTCGGAAAGGAAGAGAGGGGAGGGATTGAGGGATGGAGGAGAAGGAGGAGGAGGAGGAGGACGAGGAGGGGGAACGTCAATCCCAGCAGGGGCCAACAGCAATGGTAGCGAGGAGCGGGAAGGGTCCGAGGTCCCACACTACCCCTGGAGGTGGGCTTCCGTGTAGAGCTCCCTTCACATCTGCATTCGGCCTGGACAATGCACGGGCTGGCGCTTTCATGATTCCCTCAGCGACTTCGGTCCCACGGAGGCCTTTGCCTTCCATGCTCTGCTGAGTACTACGCAAGAGATCGATGGTATCCACCGCAAAACACAGCTTGGTACTGGCAGACATCGGATCAATCACGATCCCTGGAAACGCAAAGCGCGAACCCCGGAACGCGCACACGTCAACCCCGGAAACGACGGCGGCACGAACCCCGGAAACGCAGGCGGCCACCCACGGAAATAGCAAAGCATCATCCCCGACACGAAAACCCGACCCCCGAGAGCCTGAGAGCACGCCTCCTCCTCCCTCGCCTCCTCCCCCTCCTCGTCCTCCTTCTACTGCTCGACCCTCTGACCCTCCTCCTCCTCCTCCTCCTCCTCCTCCTCTGCCTTGCTCCTCCTCTTCCTCCCTTTCCCCCTCCTCCTTCCCCCCAGAACGACCGTGCGTGAAGATCAAGGCTGCCGAAAGCGTCCCCAAACGGCCCAAGGCGGCCCAAGACGCCCTCTAGTCAGACAAACAAGTCATCAGAAAACCACAAGAACCAACCACCAAACGAGATGTCGAGCCTTCGCACCCAAGACACCCGGGAAACCCTAGGATCGCCCAAAGAAGCCCCGAAGAGACCCAAGAGACCCCAAGAGCACTCCCAAGAGAACACCAAGAGGGCAACATCACCGATGTCCCCTCGGTGTTTGACTGTTTGTCTTTGTCGCCGTCGTCATCATTCCCCTTCACGGCCCCTCGCCCTGCTCCTGCGTCCTCCTTCCCCCCCCCTCTGAAAGCGTCCGACGTCAATCGGGTGGCGGGGTCGGGGTCCCATGACAGAAATCTCCCGGCAATTTGCACTGATCATTGCGCTTTTCCCACGGCGCCCCACGCAATGAGAGCAACTCCTAAAGGGACCTGCGAGGAGTGCTTCTTGAGCGTGGACGCCCGTGGAAGCACCACTCACGGGGCCTTGTGCGCACTAGAAGTTGTCTCGGTATGGTCCCTCGCCTTCCTCCTGCCGCCCCCCCTCCCCCCCTCTGAAAGCGTCCGACGTCAATATTTGCTAACAGTGCCAGCCGCTGCACCGCGGCAGCATCACGGAGCAGACAGCTATCCAACGACGACTGCAGCCGAGGCTGGGGCGCGGGAGGAGGGGGTGACAACGGGGAGCAAGAGGCAGAAGGCGGAGGAAGAAAAAGGCGGACGGCGGAGGAAATGGATGGGGAGACCCTCCGAGTGGTGAAGCGACTTTCTGGTATGAGCCTGGCGCCTCTCGGGCAGCTGGCAGCGGCACCCCCCAGCAAGCCCTCATAGGAAACCGTTGCCGGACTTTCTGGTGTAACCCTGGCGCTTGGCGGCCTGGTGTGACCCTCATAGGAAAACGGTTGACGGACTTTCTGGTGTGACCCTGAAGGAAAACCGTAGCGGACTCTCTGGTGGGACGTCCATGTGTGCCTCGTCACGTGGCAGCACCGCGAAACCGAAAAACATACTGTCCGCTCCACTCGCCACGTGGCAACGCCTTTGCGGGCGATAAAACACTATTCCGCTGTACTCGTCACGTCGCAGCGCCGCGGGGGCTGAGAAACATAGCTTCCACTGAATTCGCCACGCGGCACCGTCTGGGGGGGGGGCGAACAAACATACGATTCCACACCATTCGTCACATGGCAATGCCGCTTGGGGCCGAACAAATACTCGCTCCACTTGCCACGTGGCAACCTGGAGAGGCGAAGAAACAGGATTACATCCACTCTACTTGTCACGTGGCAGCGCCGCGGGGCGTCACGTGGCAACGCCGCGGGGGCCGACAATAATGCTATGCCACTCCACTCGCCACGTGGCAACGCCTGTAGACGCGAAGAAATCGTATTCCATTCTAGTCGTCGTCACGTGGAAGCCATGAGGACGGCGACGAGGACGACGAGAACGACGACGACGACGACGACGATGATGATGATGATAATGATGATGATAATGATAATGATGATGATGATGATGATGATGATGATGATGATGAGGATGAGGATGAGGATGAGGATGAGGATGAGGATGAGGATGATGATGATGATGATGATGATGAGATGAGGATGAGGATGAGGATGAGATGATGATGATGATGATGATGATGAGGATGATGAGGATGATGATGATGATGATGATGATGATGATGATGATGATGATGATGATGATGATGATGATGATGATGATGATGATGATGATGACGAGGGCCAGGAGGCGAACAAAAAATCCGCCGGCCCCCTTGTGGGGCCACCAGGCTGTAGGCGCGAGGTTCGCAGTTTCCTGTGCCAGTCGTAGGTTGTAGTTTCCAATGTTACAGTTTTGCTTCTTGCTGGTTACTGTAACTAGTTGATTGACCGCGCGAGGGGGGGGAGGCCCAAACAGGACTTTTTAGGACCCCCTGGGCGCGTTGTCTGAATTGCTGGGGGGGCTCGAAATCGACACCCCTCACGCAGATCCGCGAGGTCAGGGTCCAAAAACACATGGGATTTGCCACATTTCTGAAATCCGGTGCCACCCCTCACGCAGATCCGCGGGGTCAGGGTCCAAAAACACATGGGATTTGCCACATTTCTGAAATTCGGTGCCACCCCTCACGCAGATCCGCGGGGTCAGGGTCCAAAAACACATGGGATTTGCCACATTTCTGAAATTCGGTGCCACCCCTCACGCAGATCCGCGGGTCAGGATCCAAAAACACAAAGGGATTTGCCACATTTCTGAAATTCGGTGCCACCCTCACGCAGATCCGCGGGGTCAGGGTCCAAAAACACATGGGATTTGCCACATTTCTGAAATTCGGTGCCACCCCTCACGCAGATCCGCGGGGTCAGGGTCCAAAAACACAGAGGATTTGCCACATTTCTGAAATTCGGTGCCACCCCTCACGCAGATCCGCGGGGTCAGGGTCCAAAAACACATGGGATTTGCCACATTTCTGAAATTCGGTGCCACCCCTCACGCAGATCCGCGGGGTCAGGGTCCAAAAACACAGGGGATTTGCCACATTTCTGAAATTCGGTGCCACCCCTCACGCAGATCCGCGGGGTCAGGGTCCAAAAACACAGGGGATTTGCCACATTTCTGAAATTCGGTGCCACCCCTCACGCAGATCCGCGGGGTCAGGGTCCAAAAACACAGGGATTTGCCACATTTCTGAAATTCGGTGCCACCCCTCACGCACATCCATCGCAAGGCGTGGTAACCCAAACTGCGAGTACTCCCTCGGCCCTTTAATCCCAAGGTGTGGTAACCAAGCTCGTAAACCATACACGTCTTACCAATCGCCCTGTGTGGTAACCCCTCTTGTGATCAGTTGGTTTTGCCGATTGCGAATCGGCCTCGCATGAAGTTCCGATACTGCTGCACGACAGCGCCAAAGCCTCATGACTTAGCTCTTCCATGGCCCATTCTCCGAGAGAGGGGGCCGGCGGCAGGGGGCGAAGCCCTTACAGATATATCCTATCCTCCTCCTCGTCCTTCTCCCTCCCCCTTTCCTCCTCCCTCCTCCATCCTCCCTCATCATTCCTTCCTCCCCCATCGTCCCCCCTCTCCATCCCCTCCTCCACCCCTCCTCTCTCCTAACTCCTCTTTCTTCTCCCCCCCCTCTCTACCTTCCTCCCTTCTCCTCCCTCTTGTCCTCCCCCTCACCTGCAATTTACTGCAATGCGATGTATTGCAAATACAATGCAAATGCAACGCAATTCAATGTATGCAACGCAAGAAGATCATTGGGTGACCGGTTGGCTGGCTGGTGGCTGGTCGGTCGGTAGGTAGGTCGGTTGGTTGGCTGGTTGAATGGGCGGCTGCCACGTGGCAACGCGACTCCACTCGATTCGTCTCGTGACAACGCTGCGGGAGCCCCAACAAAAATACCAAGCCGTTCCGTGCGCCACATGCAAAAGCCTGGGAGCGCTATTCGTCACGTGGCATCGCCACGGGGAAACAACTATTCCACTCGATGCGTCACGCGGCAACGTTGCGGGGACCGCAAACAAATATGATGCCACTCCACTAGCTACGTGGCAACGATTGGAGGCGCGAAACAAGCTATTCAGTTATAGTCGTCACGTGGAAGCGCCGCGTGGACCGAACAAAAACAGTGTCCCACGACGGCGACGAGGACGATGACGAGAACGACGACGACGATGTCCAGGGCCAGGGAGGCGAACAACAATTTTATCATATTCTCCTCGTCCTTCTTCCTCCCTCCCTCCTCCATCCTCCCTCCTCCCTCCTTCCTCCCCCTTCCTCCCTCCTCCCCCTCCCCTCCTCGCCCCTCCTGACCTCCTCACTCCTCCCTCCTCCCCTTCTCTATACATTCCTCCCTTCTCCTCCCTTTTGTCCTCCCCCTCGCCCGCAATTCATTGCATTGCAATGTATAGCACATGCAATGCAAACGCAACGCAACGCAATGCAACGCAACAGGATGCAATCCAATACATACAATGAAACGCAATGCAACGCAATGCAATTAAACGAGTCACGTGTCGGTGCCGTGGGAACCGAACAAAAACATGATGCCACGACGAGCATGATGACGTGGGCCACGGAGGCGACCCACAATTACTATCCTATCCTCCTCCTCGTTCTTCTCCTTCCTCCTCCCTCCCCCCTCGATCCTCCCTCCTCCCTCCCCCTTCCTCCCTCCTCCCCTCCTCCCCCCTCTTCCCTTCTCACTGCAATGCAATGTACTGCTCCTCCCCCCCTCCCTCTCCCCTCCTCCCCCTCCTCCTCCTCCTCCTCCTCCTCCTCCTCCTCCTCCTCCTCCTCCTCCTCCTCCTCCTCCTCCTCTTCCCTCCTCCCCCCTCTCCACCATTTCTGGCGCGGGATCTCGGATTCCAGAATTGCGAGGATGTCTCAAGCGAGACGCGCCCGACCACCTCGCACGCATTTTCTGAGGGCCTAAAGTTGCGGGGATGCTTCCGGCGAAACGAGCTGGACCATCTCGCGCACATCTCCAAGGAACCAGCAATTGCGAGGATATCTCAGGCGAAACGAGCTGGACCACCTCGCGCGCAGCATCTCGGAACCCCGACTTGCGGGGATGTATCAAGTGAACCTCCTCGCCCTCTCCTTCTACGCCTCGCACCATCTGTATTTCCCATGTTCGGTGCGTCCTGCGATTCCCGGGTTCGTGGTTCGGTTTCCGTGGGTCGCGCTTTTTCGTTCTGGGGTTCGCGCTCCCGTTTCCTGGGTTGAGCTCGTTTCCCCGGGTCGGGTTTTTTCATCACAGATCGGGATACAGCCGAAGGAATGAACTGCTCGAAGAGCTGACCACCACCCCGGCCAGGGTTCAAGAGGGGGGGGGGGCTCTCACTATGGGCGCGATCATCGGGCACACCACGCCATGGTCCAGAGCATCTCCATCTTTACCCGAAGTCTGACATCCCCACATACACCCCAGCGTCCCTCCAGGGAGCCCAGGAACAGACTCAAGAGTCCTCATCGTCCTCCGAAGGTTCATGAAGGAGGATGGGGGGGATGGGAGTAGGAGGAGGAGGAGGAGGAGGAGGAGGAGGAGGAGGTGGAGGAGGAGGAGGAGGAGGAGGAGGAGGAGGAGGAGAGGAGGAGGAGGAGGAGGGGGAGGAGGAGGAGGAGGAGGAGGAGGAGGAGGAGGAGGAGAAAGGAGGAGAAGGAGGACGAGGAGGGGGAGGAGGGGGACGAGGAGGACGAGGAGGGGGAGGAGGAGAAGGAAGAGGAGGAGGAGGAGGAGGATATCAGGAGCCTGGGGGGTGCCATCTGACTAACAAGCGCCTCGGGGGACCTCAGATGAGGTCGAAAGCCAGGCCGAACGGCACGACGACCGTGTCACCGCCTGCGCCGCGGCGCCGCGCGACCTGCGCGAGGTGGACCGCGCCGCTGGCATGGCGGCCGCCGCCTAGCCACCCTCGCCGCCGCGCCTGGGGAATGCGGCCTGCGGCCAGCGCAACGCGCCGCCGCCGCCGCTGGGCGCGCAGAGGGACAACGACAGGGCGCGCTCAGGCAACGCCCTCGCCCGTGTCGCTGCCCTCGCCGCCGCTCTGCTCCTGCGACGCAGCCTGCGCGCTGAGGCGGCCCTGGCCCTCGCGAGGGGCCGCCGCCCCAGGCCGCGGCCTGCGGCGCACCGCCCGAGCCCAGCCCAGCGCGGGCGGCAGGCCCGCAGGCGCCGCCAGCTAGCTGCGGAGGCAATACACCTCGTACCTCTGCATGCTGTCGGTGGCGCACCGCTGGCTCAGCGCGAGGCCCAAGCGACGCCTGGCGCAGGTACCGCGCACCCTCGCTCCGCGGCGCCATGCGCGGCGGCACCGCGCCTCCGCCAGCTGCTGGGCCGCGCTGTCCATCGCCCTGGGGAAACGCCGCCACCTGGGCTGGGCGAGGACCGCCTCCGCGTACGGGACGCAATGGTCGAGCCAGTCGCTGGCCGCGCCGTCGGCGTCGAGCAGCGGCTCGATCCACCACCGCCCCCAGCGGCCCAGCCTGCGCTCCAAGGCCAGCGGCCGCGGCAGCCGTTGCGGCAGGGCCGCCCTGGGCGGCGGCAGCGCCACGCGGACGCCGCGCCGCCGCAGCCGCGCGGCAAAACCCGCGGGCGCCTCCCTGGGGACAGCCCCAACGCCGCCGCAGAGCCGCTCGGCCCGCGCCTGGGGCCGCCGCAGCAGTGCCTGCCTCCGCACTGCCCATGACTCGGCGCGATCACCAGCAACGCACCCCGTGTCGGCCAACGCCTCATAGACCTGCGCCGTGGGAACACTGCCCGCCCCCACCAGCGGCAACGCCTGCCAAGCCAGCCTCGCGAGTCGCAACGCGCCGCCGCAGCGCCTCCAACCGTTACTGCCAGGACGGCGCTGGCGCCGAGCAAGCGCTGCGGCGCGCCGCAACCTCCGCAAGCAGGCGGCTGGCCTACGTGCGCGCGCCTTTCGGCGGTACAGGAGCCCCACGTGTCGCGGTCCCCTGCGCGTCCGCCAGCAGGGCCTCCTCCGTGCGCCCGCCTCGCAGCTCTGTGGGAGCCCCGCGCGTCGTGGTCCCCTGCGCACCCGCATTCTGGCCCCCCCCCCCGTGCGCCCGCCACGCGGCGCTGCGGGAGACCCGCGCGTCGCGGTCCCCTGCGCGTCCGCCAGCGGGGCCTCCGCATAGCCATGGGCCACGACCGCCTCGTCGGTGCCCTCCTCGGAGCTGTCGTCGACCGAACTGCGCTCGTCGTGCGCCAGCGTACCCGTAGCCCATGACCTGCTCGTCTTGGGGTCCAGACCACGCAGCAGCCTGCCCCTCCTGGCCGCCAGGTTGCTGACGTAGGTGCGCTGGCGGTGCCCCATTGTCGGCGGGCGGCCCGCAGCACGCCTTCTGCAGCCCACTCGCCGCTCGGGTCAGCATCCACGCGACGCAGACCTCGCAGAAGATGGCGGCCCCCGCGCGCCGCAGCCGATGCCCGAGGTGCAGCGCCGCGCCGCCGCCGCCCCCCTCGCGAAACCAAGGGTTCGGCCTCTGCGCCAGCTTGCAAGGCTTGCCACCGTCGCACTGCTGCCGCGCCTCAGCACCCGGGCCCTCGGCGTCGCCCATCCAGCATGGCCCCGCACCGAAATGCGCCGCCTCAGCCGCCGCCCTGAGGCGTGCCAGCGGCGTCAGCAAACAGCTCGACCTGACAAACTGCTGCGCCGCCGCACCTGCCTCAATACGGGATCGGCGCCCGCGCTCAGTGCACAACATTCCGTGCTTTCCCTGCGCGCGCACCAGGGGGTGCTCCACCGCCGTCAGCCTCGGCACGGGCGGCGGCGGCGGCGCCGCGGGCACGTCGCGCGCCTCGGGGGCCCAGTCCCCATGGCCAGGCAGCGCTGCATGTCCCATCCGATGTAGTCCGCCATCTGCTTGAAAGTACTGCACCTCGATGGCGTAGAACTCCGTGTGCACCTGGGGCACCGCGCGCTGCAAAGCCCCACTTCTTGGCGAACCAGTCCGCCCACAGGTTGCCCGCGTACAGCACTGGGTGAAACCCCGCCGCCAGGTGCCCGTCGACGTCCTGGCGCGCGGGGACCCAGAACACCTCGGGGCGGCATGGCTGCTGCCGCAGGTGCCTCCACACCGTGGCGTGCACCGACTTGGCTCGCTCCGGCCCTGGCCCCCAGCTGCTAGCCTCCTGGCCCAGCGCCGGCAGGCCAGTGGCCACGAATCGCGCCTGCTGCCCTAGGAGCTCGGTGACCTGCAGGAGCGCGCGTCGCTCGGCGCGACCCACCGTCTGCAGGCGGCCAGGAAGGGCCCCGAAGGCCGCGCGAACGGGCCAGCTGGGCCATGCTGCTCGCGAGGCCCGAGCCATCAGTGAACGCAATGTTCCCGCGCTGCTCGTCGCTCGTGCCGCCCCAGTCACCCCGGAGCCTGACCCCCGCCTCGTCGGCCGCAGGCGGCGCGCGCGGCGGCAGCGCGGGGGGCCCGATCTCATGCGCGAACCCGCTGAAGTCCGCGACCACCACGCCGCCTGCCTGCAGGCCCTTGTCGCGCATAGTAGTCCACATCTGCTGCAATCGGTCAGGGAGGACGTCCTGCTCTACCGACGACCTATTCGCAACGAAACATGCCGTGCCAAGCTCGCTGCCTCCAGGGGGGCTAGCCTGGCGCGCGCGCAGCAGGGCCCCGCAGTCGTGGAGCCTTTGACCAGGGGTGCCCGCCTCCGCTCTGCACGCCAGACAGCTGCCATCGGGGGCGACCCCAACGTCTAGCTGCCCCTGCCTGGTCCACGGCGTGCCTGCCCAGTGGATCCTGAGGCCGGTGGCAGCAGGCCCTTTGGCGACAGCTGCGCCCTTGCCACCCGCGCACAGCCTCAGGGTCCGCGTCCAGATCAGCCCCGTGGGATGCGCGCCGCCGAAGTGGCTCAGGATCCGTCGCCCTTGCCAACGGCTGACCCCCTCGACGAGGTAAGGCTTGAGGTCCGACGGCGAGGTGGCGAGCAGGTTGATGTGCTGCTCCTCGTCAGTGACCAGCACCAGGCTAAACCACATGTACCAGCCGATCCTGGAGAGCGCGAGCGTCGTCGAGGCGATCGGGCAGCCGCGCGCCGCTGCGCGATGGAGGCCCGCGCGCGCTGAGATGCCCTCTGCCCCCAGACCCAGCTGGAGTACCTGACCACGAGCGCCACCGCCACCTCGTAGACTGGATCAAACCTCGCCCTTTGCTGCGTGGCCGGGTAGATCGTCGCGCCCGACGGGCCTGGCCGCGCCCCCGCCAGCCGGCTGGCCCCGGCCCGCAGCCGCTGCAACTCATCGTCGGAGATGCCCACGACGCCCGCGCCGTGGCCGGCGCTAGGGGGCAGCCCCGCGTTCCGCAGCACGGTGACCTTGCGGCCAGCGGCGCGCTTCAACGCCGCCAGGCGCCCGCGCCGCCGCGCCGGCGCTTTCCGCCGCAGCATGGCCCGCCGTCGCTGGATCCTGCCTCCTCCAAGGTCATGCCCTAGATAGCGAGCCCAGTGTAGCAGCTGCAAGCCGCGGGATCCCGCATGCCCCCTGCATTCTGCGGCTAAGGAAAGGGAGGGGGAGGAGGGGGAGGGAGGAGGAGGAAGAGGAGGGCCTGGCATCCAGAATCTACGTCGGCGCGCCTCCGGAGGGGCAGGCGCAAGAAAGAACAGCGAAAAACAACAGCGACGGGCCGCGACTGCGATGCGCCCAGCTGGCAGCGGCTGCCGCTGCGGGCAGCGCGCGGCGAACTACGGCGCGCGGAAAAAGGGTGGGGGGGCGGGGTGTGCGGGGGGGGGGGGGGGCGAGTCCAAACGGCGGCCCCTAAACAGGATGCCGCGGGCTTTCAAAAGGCTCTGCGAAAATGCGGAGGCGAGCCCTGGTCTCGAAGAATTCTGCCTGGGGCGGCCCCTGGGGCACGCAGGAAGAAATGCAGCGGGGGGAAGCGGCGGGGGGGGGGGCAAGGGGGGAGGGGGCGCCCCTCGCCGCCTTCGGGATCGAGCGGCCCCTCCAGGCAATTGGTGGGAGAGCGACAGAGGGCGACTCTCTCGGGGGGGGCGAGCCGCTGCCTCACACTTCAAAGCGCGTGGGCGGGCGGGCGCGGGGGCGGCGGGGGGGCGCGCGCGTCTGCGCCCACCGCCCCCGCCCCCCCCCGCTCTGCATCTCCTCCCCGCCGCGCCCCCCCCAAGGCTCGCGCCCCGCGCCGGCCCCCCCCCCGCCTGGGCCCGGGGCGAAGCGAGGCGGCGCGCAGGCAGAGAAGCACAGGGCGGGGGGGCGCGACGGGGGCGCGAGCCCCTGCCACGGGGCACAAGGAGCGCGGGGGGGAGAGGACAAGCAGGACGCGACAGGGCGGAAGAGCAGGGCAGCGCAGGACACACAGGGACAAGGCGAAAGGGGAAGAAGCGATGGGGGCAGGGCGGGGGGGGGAAGACAGCGTCGCAATTGCGAGCTCTTGGAGCGCGTGGGGCCTCCGCGCTATCCTGTAAAAAACAGACCTGCTGTTTCGATTGCTTGTTTGCGCAAGCTGGGCTCAGCTCTCGTTGTGGGAGTCAGCGGGGTGTTCCCTGCAGGCCTTCTGTTGCCGTTGGGTTCAGACATATCTGGTTTTTCCCCGTTCGCATGGTTCTGGCCCAGCCCGTTTGTGCGCACTTTTGAGCGCCACCGCGCGCGCGTCGCATCCCTCCTGGCCCCCCATCATCGTGGGACCCCTCAATGATAAAATGCCCCGAGATGCCCGTGGCGCTGCCTTGCCTGGCTCCCAAGTCGTGCATCCCCTGACCTCCTATGCCTCATGGTGTGGTCTGCCCGTTGGTCCACGGTCGTCACGTCAACGTGTTTTTTTCGGTTTGCCTCGCAGTCGGACTCCGCAGCCGGATATCCATCGTCGCTTGTCTGCGATGCACTCCCCGGAACCGCCCCGCTGACTTCGCGAGCGACTCTGGGCCAGTCTTCGCGCTCTTCTTTCCCGGGGAAGCGTCTTCAAGCCCAGATGGCATGGATCCCTTCTTCAGGAGGTCACATGCGAGACCTGCCCCCCCCCCCCCCCCCTCCGCGATTTCTGAGGGGGAGGGTGGGGTCCACTTCGCTCGGGAGCTCCCGAACGAGGTGAACCCCGCCCTCCCCCTCAGAAATCGCGGGGTAGGGGCAGGGTTCACACGCGGCCCCCTATTCTTGATCTGCTCTGCGAGGGCCACCGAGGTGACCAAGTTCATCGGCCCTGTCTCGCCCCGCCCCGCCCGTGCGCAGCGGGCCCGCGCGCTCGCGCCGTCTGCCTTCCACCCTGGCTTTCCTCCCGGCCCAGCGGGCGCAGGCCGGCTGGCGGGGCAGCGGGCCTCTCTGTGCCGGCCCCCGAGCTGCGCGCCGCAATCGATCCAGCGACCCTCGTCTTCCGGCATCCATCCGCACGCGTCGGTCGGAAGACGCAGGTAGAAACGTGAAGTAGGAAGGCGGATTAAGTTGATTGGGCCCAGGCCCCCCAGAGAATAACAAAACACAGCAAAGTCGCGTTGATTCTTGGAGTAGGAAGGCGCTCGAAGTAGATTGGGATCTGGGAGTCCAGAAATACAGACTTTCAACGACCAGCGTGTAATGCATCCACGCCGACGGCTCGACTGTCTTCCACGCTGGCCCCGTGTCCTCCGCATCGCGCGTCTCGAGCTCGTCGACGTTCCCGTCCGTCTGGTCGGTGACGCGGTTGCGCAGGTTCGGCACATGTGCCCTCTTGTAGTCGCCCGCTCAGGAAGCCGTTCAGATTGGATAGCTCCGTGATAACTTCCTCCGTGGTTTCCAGCTGGTCCCGCGGCATGACCGCGCCCTCTGCTTTCGCCATGGGGTTCCATTGCTCGGGGTGGGTAAGGCCTGGGCCCTCGCAATGCTGAGCCCGGGCTGCCGGCGTCGGTGCCTCGCGGTGGTTCTTCCGCGTCTCGCTGCGTCGCGCGACGTTCTCGCTGGTCTCGTCGAGCGCGCGCTCGACGTCGACCGCCTCCGGCGCCGCCGCATGCCCGCGAGAGGCTGGCGCTGGGGACTGCGCTTTCCTCTTATTGTTCCCGTCTGCTGTCGAGCGCGACGTCTCCAGTTCCGTCTCCTAGCCGACTGCGCGCTCATCCTGGTTCAGCCCCGGCGCCATCTCGCCATCTGCGGGCGCCATGTTCTGCATCGGGCCGGCAAGGCACTGCAGTGGCGCCCCCGTCTAGAAGAGATAGAAAAGAAATATTAGCTCGCCGTTTGAACCAAATCTGCGACGCTGCACATTCACATCCGCTTTTTCGGTGGCTGTGCATGTCTATTTCCCGAAATTCTCTGCTGGGTCCCGGGTCCGTCGCGGCTTCCCCGTTGGCGATGCCTGCCCGAAGCGTTGGTCGTCATCGGTTTTCCCCTTGTCGTCTGCGCGCAATTGTAATCTCCACGCCGTGAATCTGCACTGCCCCCCATTCGCGCCATGCCCCTCTTGCCGCCCTTTCACCCCCATGCCCAAGAGAGTATTGCCCTCCTCATCCGAAGACTGGTGGTCAATTTCCCCGCGGTCCGATGGCGATGATGTCTTGGCTCGGGCTGGCGGTGTTCATCATCGTGTTGATCGCGCCCCATGATTTTCTCAGTGATCTCGACGTGGCGAATGAGGCCCCCTATCAAGGGGCGCTTCAACTTGGGCCGTGCTTTCGGCGCGATGCAGGTCGGGTTCTAATGGCTGGCCTTGAGGGCGCCCTCAGTCGCCTGCGCTTCCTGCTTCTGGTTCTCCACCGTCAGGCAGGTCTGCTTGTTGACGGTTGCGGCGCCTGACAAATATTTCTAGCGCTCCCATTGCTGCAGGGCTCGCGAAAACGCCACCGCGGCGACCCCCCCCGGCGCGCGATGCTTAAGGTCCACGGGCGGCTCCCAAATCGATCGGTCTTGCCTGGAGATCGCCGCGCACGAGGACTGCCGCTCCGTCTGCATTCGCCAAAGGGGCCCACCCTGCCCGCGGGCTCCGCCGCGCGCAAGATGGCAGCGCAACCCGGCTCGCGGGCCCGTCCGCCGGAGCCTGCCAGCCGATGGCGGGCGAGGCGCGTCTTCGGGGCGCGCAAGCATGGATTAGCAATCCACGGCTTAGGGGCGCGGTCGCCAAACCCATGGATCGGGGGCGCCCCCCCCCAAAATGCGGCCGGCGCCGCCTCGTTCGGCGGCTGGAATCCACGATCCCTCATGGAAACGGGACCCGTCGCTAATCCGCGCCCCCATAATACATGTTTGCGATCGCCTGATTCTGGAAGGTGACCAGGCGGGGGGCGGGGCCGGCGCCCGCGGCGCAAGTGGAAAGCCCCCAGCACCTCGAAGCTCCTGCCCCAATATTCCCGTTGCAGCTCAGCACCTCGAAGCCGTCGCGGAGGCCTGCTGCGGCGCCTGCCTCTGCGGGTGGGCTGCTGCTCGGGCCGCTGCCGATCCTGGCCAGGTCGGCCGGGCTGCCCGCCCGCGCGCGAACCGGAGGCCGCGGGGCCACCAGGAGCCGCCGAAAGCGATGTGCACGACTCCCCCCTTGCTCCTGGTATGGGGGGGCCGCCTTCACAAGGCGGGCCGACCTGCAGCGCGCTCTCGGACAAACCGCTTGCCGAAACCGAAGTGCGCGACCCCCCCTGCGCTCCAGGCAGGGAGGGGCTCCTTTGAAGTGGCGGACACACATGCAGCCTCGGGGCGCCGAACTGCTCGCTCTCCTCCGTTGAAGCAACAGCTCAGGGGGCGGTCGGACTCTGGCGGCGCAGGGTTGGGCGGCCCACGGGCCGCCGCGCCTCCATCGCGCCGCCCGCCTGTCCCCCCGCCGAACTTGAAGTGCGCGACTCCCCCTGCGCTCCAGGCTGGGACGGGCCCCTTCGCAGTGCTCGGTCTTCTCGTTTGCAAGGCGACTCTGGGGGCGGTCGGGGTCTGGCGACGCGGGGTTGGGCGGCCATTGGGCCGCTGCGCCTCCTCCGCGCCGCCCGAGAGGCCCCCCGCCGCCTTCGCTGGGAGACCCAGAGAGCACTTGCCCTCCCCGCCCCTCCCGCTGCGCTGCTCACCTCGGGGCACCCCCTTGGTCGAGCCCGCAGCAGTGGTTTGTGCGGGCCCATCGTCAAAGTGGCGTCGACCCTCGCGTTGCACCGCTGCTGCTCCTGCAGCGGCATCCAAGGGAAGCACGTCGAGAGCGTCGTCCAGCGGCTGGCGGGCGCTGGCGCCGACGCGCGGCCGCGGCCCCGCGGCGTCGCCAAAGCGCTCGGCATGACCGCGGTTGAAGGCAGTAGTAGTAGTAGCAGTAGTAGTAGTAGTAGTAGTAGTAGTAGTCGTCGTCGTCGTCGTCGTCGTCGTCGTCGTCGTCGTCGTCGTCGTCGTCGTCGTCGTCGTCGTAGTAGTAGTAGTAGTAGTATTAGTAGTAGTAGTAGTAGTAGTAGTAGTAGTAGTAGTAGTAGTAGTAGTAGTAGTAGTAGTAGTAGTAGTAGTAGTAGTAGTAGTA